TATTTATGTATATTATTTCTACAGCATAAACATTTCCAAATTCATAATAAACATAGATTAAACTAAGTGCCCAGATTAATCTAAACTAACTATTAAGTATTAACCAAAACCAACCAAATCCCGATTCAAACCCACCATAAAACAACACATATTCACGAGAAATAGCAGTGTTTAGTCATTTAAAATGCTAGATTGTCAATTCTCTTATTTTCTTGCTTTTAACCAAATTTGAGAACTTTAATAAATACCTTCATTTTGAGGTTAGAACCAATATAATCATCATAATCCAAACATCAAAATTTATATCAACACACAAATACAACTATTTTGGGTTAAGGCCTCCTAATCCTTTCGAAACAGAGGACTGGAAATATTACTTACTAAAATTCCAATCTTGAAACCCTGCATAAAAGATACAAACAATTAGGATCGTTACAATCAGAATCAAATGACAATTACCAACGCATAAAGCCCAAGAAAAACTCACCTGAGAAGCCCCGCCGGAGGATTTCTCCTTTGCTACCGGTAACTTTTTGTTTCTTCCCTCGTCCACTATCTATTTCTCTCCTTTGTCCAGTTCAAAACCCAGAGAGACAGAAAAAGTGGTCAGATTTCGTTAAAAACAAACAAGGCAATCTTCCACAAAAATACGCCGAAAGAAACCTACCTAAGCCCCCTTTATTGGCGTCTTCAGTATCGACCGTCGGTGCTCCTTCCGACGCCAGTGATTTATTTACTCTTTTCCCCTTTCGATTGGACCCAAGCAATCAAAACCCAAAAGTAGTGAGAGGTCAGGTAGAGAAGGGGTTTCTTCCTTCTCCGAGGTACTCGTCGGTGACGAGATGGAGGATAAATAGAGGGTGAGAGGAAGAAGAAGAAGAATCAAGTAGAAGGAGGAGAAAAGCTAGGTTTTTTTTTGTTCTTCTTCTTTTTCGTTTGTTATTTCTGGAGAAGAGAGGAAGAAACGAGAGACGAGAGAGCGGCTAGGGTTCTCATAAAACATCGGCCCAATAGTTTAAAGCTTATTAATGCTTTAAAACAACAAGAAGCCCAAAACTTCAAAGCCTTTGTATTATTTAACAAAAAACACGGGCCAAAAATGAAAGCCCAATCGATATTTAAAAACCTCCATCAGCTGAAAGAAGTAAAGTTGTATTCTATCAAACGTGAGGGAGCTGCTGCTGTTTCTCTCCTTGGCCAGCTGGTTTTGTCGAGAGGGAAACCCTAGAAAAAATAACCCGCAGCTGCCGTCGTGCTGGTCCCCCATCTCCCGCAATCGACCCCATACAGAATCGTACGGGAAAGTATTATATATCCCTTCTATTCTTTCTATTTCTTTTCCCTTTGATTTCCTCATTTTGTCTTCTTTCATAGTTGGAGCAAGAAGTTATTGTTGCCCCAAAACTTTATCACAACCCGATCTGCTATTTTGGGCGACAACAGAAGGGAAAATGTTGTCGAAAGACCCACATGGTATATTACAATTAGTTGAAAAAAGGTGTGTTCGAATGCTTTTAGATGTAATGACTCAGTTTCCATTTTGCTTTTAGATGTAATGGTTGAATCCACAACCTTTCGTGAACTACGTCTTGGAACAAGCAACCATTTCCTCCTGGCTAGACTGTTAAACATATGGTCAGAATGTGAATCAGATGGAACTAGATCTATTACCTCAATGCATATGCTTTGGTTAGATAAAGAGGTATGTTTATAACCATTAAACACCTGCTGGTTTTACTCTTATCACAAAACAGTTTCTTTTAGCTCATTTGTAACATTTTAACTCCTTTAGGGACAACTTATGGAAGCAAATGTGCCCTATGAAGATTCTGCTCACATTTGCAAGGACATTGAGATTGGTTGTCTCTATACCATGATGAATCCAACTATCATACCAGCTAGATCTGAATGACGCACTGCACCTTCTGATTTGAGATTGCATTTCACAAAGGGATCTTCATTGAAAGCGATGACTGAATATCGGAGCACGATGCATTTTCCATATGATTGTTTTCTTCAAAGTCCTTTCAATGGCAGTGGTTCTTCAACAAGTCTTACACCTTGCTTCTCAAGTATTCATTGGTTAGACATAACCCACTGATTTGAACAGATTGTATTATAAATTGATGTGTTAAATATTGTATATTCCAAAGATCACATAGAACAAAAAAACTAAAACATTTTCATATTTCAGATATTACAGGATGTGTAACGCATATTACCGAACCAACTAAAGTCAGTTCTGATATATCTATGTTCCAGATTCATCTTGAAGACATGAGGTACCACTTATAATTAGTTACTATAATGTCTTACTGAATCAAATTAGTCTATAATCATACTTTAATCGGTTTTGCAACTTTATAGTGGAAACAAAGGACTTGTGAGTTATATTGGCACAAGAATTAAAGTTTCATTGAACGTGCTACTGCCAAAGAAGTTCATTATCCTCTGGTTGTGACAGCAACAGCACTGACCCGAAATGTGCACGAATTTGACCATATTCCACCGTTCTGTTTCGTAACATCTCTGGACAGTCGTCTTATTGTACATCCGTAAAATGAGATGACCAAAGATTTAATGAATAGGTAAATTGCTATATTTATATGCTCATTTTTAATATATTTTGCATGTTTTTCCCTAGAAGTTGTCTAATTTAACTTCCAAAACAATCTAGGTTCCTTCCTAACATACTGCATGTGGATTTCATTGACTACAAATCAAAAGAGCGTCTTGGATACCTTCGGCGCAATATTCCACCCAAAATCTCATTACTAGAATTGAAGAACAAGCTGCCTTTAGAAGATGAAGAAACAGAGGTAACTGTAATTACCTTCTATGCTCTGTTATACATTTGTCAATGAAATATATTTGACAAATATAAATGAGTTTCAAATAGACTTTCAATAGTAGCAGTGTTTTCAAATATGCCTAAATTCTATTTTTTGTCTTTCTCCTATATCAAATTATATGACAGATACTCTATCGGTGCAAATTGAAAATAGTCAACTTCGACCTTGATTCTGTGACTCGTCAGCTTTAGCCTGGAGACACTGAGTATTTCCAAATACATTTGTTTTTTGATTCCCCATTATAAAACTACTATACATTGTGTATATGTATCTAATCTACATATTTGTTCAGATTATTCTATGAACTGCAGGCTGAATGTGAATCAGGAAATAACAGGGCAAATGTCATTCTGGACCATGGACCTGCTCTTGCTCTGCTTCGTATGCCACCGACCGAGTTTAAAAAATTGCCATATGACAAGCGAAGTTAGTTGCTGAAAGAATGGTGTAACATCAAATTCATGGCAGAAGTATTCATCTCTGGATCATATCATGAAGTTGATCCACATATCCGCATGTTTGCAATTTGGCATGAAAAAGCATTTCAACCTTTAATGGATCTTAAACTGAACCTATAAACACTGTCCTCATTTTGAATTCGAAGAAGGTACATGTCTTTTCTTTTTTATTTCAACTACATGAGAATATTGCTATTTATTAACACAACTAAGGCTTTACATTTAATAATTACCTTCTACTTCTGTTATTATCTCAGCTGGTAAGACTAAGGGATGCATCAGCTGGTTGCCTGAGAAAGAATCAAGGGAAGGCACAACTAGAAGATATGAATTCCAATGTTATTTTGTGCATTTCATCTTTTCGGTAGTAGAAGAATTACTTTTATATTGTTATTGTGATGTAGTAGTTAAATTCTGACTTAGTAGAACAGATACTTCTGTAATTTCACTCTTCATCGTATGCACTGCATTTGTACACCAACTGCATTTTTATCCTCACATTGTTCGAATGCAAGGAAAAAATGGGATAATTGGAAGATAAATGAATAGTGACTACCCATATTATAATAGCAACAGTGAAAAAACAAGATCCCCTATTCTCACACCTTCGTGGTGCCCGGAACATTTACACACCTAAATTACATCTCCGACTATTGTATGTTACTCAACTAAGCTGCATCCGGCCATCGGGCCGGTCAATAGGCTAGTTTCTGGAGAAGAGTGGAAGAGACGAGAGAGCGGCTAGGGTTCTAAAAAAATGGTTTATATGCCCGTTTTGTTACAATGACGTATCTACCCCTAGGGCTTTCTTAATATTACTCGTCCTTACCACTGGCCCTCTGTGAAACAAAGAAAAACACTCTCGTGTAAGTCGAACTCCCGACCTCAGGGTTCACAAGCCACTCACCCTTTGTGAAACAAAAAAAAAAAACACTCTAGTGTTAGTCGAACTCCTGAACTCAGGGTTCACAAGTCACAACAAACAAAGAATGCGGTACCTAACCACTCGGTATACGTTGTAATTCTTGTACCTTATTTATTTTTTACATTGTATTTTGTAAGTCACTTAATACGCAAAATTTATATCGACCGATCATGTTAAGACTTTTTGCTTTGGCAAAGTTAAGATTACTTCTATGTATTTCAAAATATTAAAACCTTTATTTAAATTTGGGCTTCATTTTGCATACACATATTTATTTTATTTAGAGATTTCCCAAATACGAAATTATGGTCAATAGACTGTGATAGTTATTTTCGTTGAAATTCTTCCAAAGGCAATCTAACATTCAATTACTAAATTGCAAAATCATAAATACACTTCCTAATAACTCAAATCATCTTAATCGCGATCAGTAGAACATATTTAAGTAATTTCAAACGAACTACGTGGACTTTGATCCCCACTACTCGGGTACATAGGCAACCAATAGGTTTCAAGTCCAACTAACAAATTTTCTTAACAATTTAACGTGCAAAAAAGATTAGTTGACTCATGGATAGACAGGTCTTAGGCTGCGAGGGTAGGGGTTGACTTCCATTCATCTGAACCTCAGTGGGTTGCGTGGTTCCAAACGCTTGTCCTCTCGCACCATTGAGCTGAAATACAATTCTAAAAATCAGCCATTACATTCATCTTTGATAACAACAAGCCTTTAACCGTATAAATACTTACTCTAACGTATTGGTTCCCAGTATGCTCTGACACGTAGACTCCAACCCCGCTTGTGGCTAGGGGTGTCAATTTGGGTTCGGTTTTCAGGTTTACCCGAAACCGACCCGATTATATACATTTTTCGGTTTTTCGGGTTCGAGTTTGGGTTCGTTTCGGGTTTCGGGTTTTTTCGGTTTTGGGTTCGGTTTTGCTTATCGGTTTTTTGGGTTCCGGCTAAAAACCTTCAATGAATAGAACGCAGCCCATATTTTTAGGCGTTCGGGTTTTTGGGTTTCGGTTTTAGTGATTTTCGGTTTCGGGTTTTTGGGTTTTTTCGGGTTTCGGTTTGGGTAACCGAACCCGACCCGAAATAACACCCCCTACTTGTGGCAACTCGCAACTCGCGTTCAACAGTCCTCCGATAAGCAACATTTAGCCTAACGTCCTACCATAGCAAAGAGAAGAACAATACTTTGGGAGTCATGTCCTTCACCTTATCTGTCACAAAAATCATGCAACAAACGATAAACATATCCAAGGTAGTTGAGGCGCGAGTGTTGAAAATATGAGAATCAGTGCAATGCTCATGCCTTCCTAGTCGAAGCAAGGTTAGCTCAAGTTTTAAGAAGGTTGGTTTGAGATCCCAAATAAGTTGTTGAAATGAGTTGTCAAATATAGTTGATTATTGCATACTAAAGTAAGCACTTGTGTTTTATGGTTGTTGTCATACTAACATTGGTAGAGTTGTATCTCGTAGGGCGGTTATGTATTCAACAATTTGGTATTCCAACATTTAAACGCTATTGCAACATGATGTGGTTAGTAATACAAGATTGATTTAGGATGTAAGGATATAAATGTATTTATATACACGTTTAAGAATTCTCATTTTATGCTTGTTACACTATATTGATTTAGAAAATGCCACACATTTGTCAATTAAGGCTGGCTACATAATTTGGTTTGTCTTTAGGGTACGATTAAAATCAGGGATAAAATGTTGGAATTCCATTAATATGTTTTATAGGGTATGTGATTGTATTTGGTGCAGAAGACCACCTGAGTGGCAGGTAGCAGGTCCCGAAGTTGGCATATGACACGAGTGGTTCTTGTAGATGTGGCACTATAGCATTGGTATTTTTAGATAGAGTGGATGCAATAGAAATTCTTCCATGCTCTAGGATCACCACGTCATTTTACTGACATGGTACTCCCACCTAATCAAAACCAGCCACTTGGAAATTGAGTAATTAATAAAATGCATAAATGGAATGGACTCGCATTTAATTAGTTTCTCAATTAATTGGTTAATCTTTCCTTATTGATTCTTTCCGTAAATGAATTATCCCCTTTGATTTCACCTTTTTTCTTCAATTAAAGATTTATCTCTTCTTCTGAATAATAATAAAAGAACGAAAGCAAAAAAGAAAGAATATAATAGATAATCAACCTACCATAAAAGCAGGAGGAAATCAAAACTAACTCCTACATGTCTAGTTGTAATTGGCTCGAAGCACCACGTCTGATATCCAACGTGGTAAGCCGGGACTACCGAAGAATTTCTCGTGGATGCTTTTGTGTAGATGTGGCCCCGTAGGTTGTTTGTTGTTGTTTTTACCATCATTTGCACCAATCTGATGGTACAAACTGTTGTTCTTGTCATCTTGGTTAGATTGTATCAAATTATTTTTGTTTATTAGAAACTCTATCAAAATCTTGTGTAAAGCTAAAAAGTGGTTCTGTAACCTCTGTACCCAAGTTATTCTTCCCACATTCCAATAGTAGATAATCTCTATATTTGCTCTGAAATCGGTAGCCTGATTGCATAATTTTAAAATGATTTTTTTATTAAGATTGATTATCAATTTAATTCATGTATGTTACCGAAGATTTCCGATAAAAAAAGAAGATTTCCATCATTGATTGAAGAAGACAAAATTAGGGATAGTTGTTTCCTTTTTTTTCTGACCAAGATAGAAGGTTTTGAGGGTAAAAAAGGATAATTATAGGGTAGACAATCAGCAAATAAATGGGGAGATCAATTAAATAATAAATATTCAATATTACATTACATTTAATTCTTTCATTCCCATAGCCTCGAAAAAGGAAGTTTGCCGAATATAGGTGGTGGCATTGGCGAGTTTCTCTAAAAAGTGGGTGTTCAGAATTTTGTATTTTCTTTTGCATTAAAAATCTTTGTAATTTTAAAATATGTACCCAAATGTTTTGTTAAGATATAAAGTGGCTCTGACAAATCCATTATTTTTTGTACTATCTGGATCCAAAAATATGTTGAACAGACAAAAAGATTTTGGTACTATCTGGATCAAAAATATGTTCAACAGACAAAAAGCAATCAGATTTCCAAGTTTAAGTTATTTTATTGTAACAGTGAATCAAAGTTTTACTTACCTTTCAACCAAAATTTTTTTTTACTTGCCTTTAAAGAAATTATTTATCTATTAATGGCTTACCATTAATTAAAATGGAAAGTAGAAGACAAAAACGTGCAGCCCTAACAGTGAATCAAAGTTTCACTTACCTTTCAACCAAAAAAACTTTTTACTTGCATTGAAAGAAATTATTTATCTATTAATGGCTTACCATTAATTAAAATGGAAAGTAGAAGACAAAAACGTGCAGCCTTTGGGATTTGAACCTGTATCCAAGGAGTCATATTTCCACACTATTTCCGCTACGCCAAATGACATTCACTGGCTTTAATTTGGCGTCTTAGTAATGATTTAATATTTTTAGTTTATACGTAATATCTCAAACCATTATCGTGACTTTTGAGATTGGGGTCTAGGTTGTTGGATCCTTGAAGATTATAAATCTTGATCCATAATAACACTAAGGGATTTGGTGTCGTAGTATAGTGTCGTGGTATAGTGGTCGACGTAGGACGTATCCCCAGGCAAAATGGCCTCGCCTACTACTTGAGCATAATCATAATCTAAGTCATATCCCTCACCATAATTATCACAAAAATCGTGCAACAGACGATAAACATATCCAAGGTAGTTTAGGCAAGAGGGTTGATAATATGAAAATCAATGCAATGGGCATGTCTTCCTAGTCGAAGCAAGGTTAGCTCAAATTTCAAGAAGGCTGGTTTGGGATCCTAGTTATGTAGTGTAATGTGAATTGGGGATCATTTGTCGACCAAATAAGTTGTTGAATAGAATTGGATTATTGCGTACGAAAGTAAGCATTGTGTTTTATGGTTGTTGTCATACTAACATTGGTAGAGTTATATGTCGTAGGGAGTGTGGTAGCCATACATTAAATTGACTGGGCTCCTTTTTATTTTCAAAATGCAAAATTTTGTTTACCTAATGAAGTTTGAGTTAATTGGTGTCCTTAGATGAGCTAACATGAACGAAAGTATGAGGTCCTAAATTCAAAGGATCATATTAAACCTTACATATCTGAACGATTTTGTTGCCCTGTTTTTTCCCCAACTGAGTCCTATGACCCCTCTCCTCAAGAGGTGGCTCAGCCACTGCCCGTAGGGTGGTTACGTATTCAACAATTGGAAAATGCAACATTTCAACGCTTAATTCTAACACAACGTGGTTAGTAATACAAGATTGATTTAGGACATACAACGTTTTCAACAGATCTTGGAATTCTCGTTGTTTACAACGTGTTAAACTATAGGAAATTAAATTGATTAAAGAAACTCCCATTGTTTACATAGGGAACAACTAACCATCCCCCATTGGCCCATTTTCCCTCCCTGGTTTTTGTTTACAAACGAGTTATGTTAGTAGGAAAAAAAAGAAAACAAAACAATCCCATTCACAGCCCTTCTCTCCCACGCGCATTGGTCTTGGTAGTCCAAACCCTAAATTCCATTTTCCCCTTCCGTTCTCCCCAATCCAGCTGCTCCCTCCTTTCCACCATCACCAATATGTGAGGGGCAAAATAGACAAAAATGTAGGGCTAAGAACTAAATAAATAAGGGTGGATGAAACCCTAGCCGTCGCTCATTACACATTCCCCCTCCCATTGTTCTCAATCACTTATGTTCTTTCGCGAAGAACCCAAAGGAAAAAAAATCCTACCCGCTTGCCTCTTCATTCCTTCCTCTATTTGCCTCCAGGCTCTCGCTTCGTTGTGAGGGGTAGATCGATGCTGCTCTATCTTAATCTTCTTCTCTGGCGCGAAATGGGTGACGATTTGGAGATTGATTTCGGGGAGACAGCTGCAAGGAGGAAGGTTCGTATTTTACTCAAATAGATTTTTGATCTTATTCTTGGTAGCCTAATCCCCTCGTTTGTCTCCAGTAGCCTAATCCCCTCGTTTGTTTTTTTTTTTTTTTTGGTTTCCGGAGTGCGTTGGGCTAGAGGTATGGTAGTGTGAGAATGACAACATGTAAACTTGTAAGGACAGCGCAGAAGATCATCAAATGGAGTTCGGTTTTTTCATAACGTTCGTTCTGGAAACACACGTCATATGGTGATTCTTCTGGGCCGTATTGACATTTGCATGTTGTCGATCTCGCAAAAACGAAGTTCGGTGGGTTGCTTCAATTAGTGAAAGCCGAAGTTGGCATCTGACACGAGTTCTTCAAGTTGATCTTGCTTCGTAGCTTGTTGACACGGTTTGTATTAATTTGATTCCAAATCTCAGTTTTTCTCTCATGCGTGTGAGCTAATAACTGAGTTTGGAGACTAGTTACCTAATCCAATCCATTTTATTGATATTCTTTTATTTTCTTATGAGGTTGTGTTAGCGGCAGTTCGGCGGGCAGTCCCAACATGTAGATGTGTCTACAAAGGGCGGAGAAGAACATCAGATGTAGTTGGAGTGCTCATAATAAATATTGTAAAACCATATTCCATCAGGTGGTTCTTTTCCGCCCACTTGACTCCTACATTTTGGAATAAACTCGCAAAGGCTGCAGGAGATTTGAAAGATTTGAGGTTGGTTTCGTTCTATTGTTGTTTCGTCTGTTGTTACTTTGTTGGTCCGAATCCCTCAACTCAGAAAATTCATTGCTTGCAGAGTTGTGAAGGCCACTGCTGGTGCTGGATTCGGGAGATAGTTTATGTACCTCTGGTTCTATCACAATTTTTATGGTATCATTTTATTTCCTTCCAGTTTCTAATGTTCATTTGAGAACACATGTTATGCGAAATATTTGGTTGAGGCTTGCGCATATAATGTGATTGCTGTCATACGCTTTCTTGAGGGGTACTAGAGTAGATGATATAGTAAGTCTGGAATGTATTGCAGCTATGTAGGAGTGCTTCATTCATAGGAATGCCTCATTACTATTTAGCTTGAATATGTACCATTGGAACTACGGTATCCTTTATTCCTGAACCCTTCAAGAAAGTGTATGATAGTAATATGTGGTGTGCGGAAGTATTTCAACCTAGACCATATAATTTAACAAAATTTCGTTTTGTATATTTTGCTTTATGAATATCATTTGTTTGATTTGGCATTTTTCTTTCATTATATGTGCACGTCGTTGCCATGGGGAGTGTGAATGGAAGGATGGAATCTGACATGCGAGAAGAACATTATCCAGATGAGTACCCAAAGTAGGATTTGTATGCTTTGTTGTGGTCCCAAGCTTCCATCGGACTTTGTTTCCTGTATTGTGAATGATGCTATTTTTGGTGTGTCTATGCAGCAGGAGTTAAACCCCTGAAGAATTATGTCAAGTGAGGCCAAAAGCGAAGACACTTGTTAGGAGGAATCGCTATTCTCTATGGGGTCAGACTAGTGAAGGAGAAAGAAATTGGCCCGATTGTGGTAGAGTCAGACTGTAAAATGGTGATCGAGATACTGAAACAGGGGAAAATATGCAGAATTGAACTGGCGGTCATTTGTTCGGATAAGTTGAAAGAGGATTTGTATGCTTTGTTGTGGTCCCAAGCTTGTGTGTTTGCTCATCTAGTTTCAGTTTCTGAGGAAACTCATTTTGATTGTAATGTTCTACCACAAAGGGTAGCTGACGTTGTAGCCTTTGAGGCAGTTGATTCTTGTTTTTAATGAAATCCTTATCAGTGGTTTCTAAAAAGAAAAAAAAACTCAGTGGGCACAGTGGTTGCCTTTTATGTACTAGGTTGTTCGGCTTAAATATAAGCCCAGCCGATTCATAAAAAAAAATTAAATTATACTTTTGGATATTCGTAAACAAGGAATTCCTTTTTTAGCATTCAATACATTTACCTCCAATATTTGGAATTTCCCTTTTGGAGAGGTCTGCCTACAAAATTTATCGCAACGAAAATATAAAATAGGCAAAATACACTTGTATAGCCATAACTTTCACGTTTTTGACAAATATAGCCATAACTATTCGAAAACACAAAATAGCCAATTCCGTCCATCATTTTGACGGTGTTACTTAACAATCTGACTAGACGGATGGAAATGCTGACTTGGCGACATTTCGTCAGTTAAAGTCCACATGGATTAAAGGAAAAAAAAAAGCCAAAAAAAATCAAAAAAATAAAAAAATAAAAAATGCTCATTTAGGGTTCTTAGAGACCCCAAATTCGGGGGCCAACTCTTCATCTCCTTACCAGCCGCCGCGAAATTGGAAACAAATCGGAAGCCAGCGGTAAGCACGAATAAGAATAAACGAATCAGAATCCAGTCAAAAGCACGGCGAGATGAGGGAGAAGGTCGAGCAACCTGCTTGTTTCTTCTCGGCGGAGATACCGCTATGCTGGAGGATTTCGAGGTCGACGAGAGTGAGGGACATGAGGCCGAGAGATATGTGGCTGTAGGGAGCGAGCGGAGAGATGAGCGGTGAAGGTGAGTTGGTAGAAGGTCGGCAAATGAAAAGGAGAGAGCTTGGAGAGGATCGCAACAGCTGCGATGGAGTCCCGATTGACGAGGGATCTCCACTCCCTTCTTTCTCCAGCCGTCTCCCAACCTGCATCGACGCCGCTGGAGGAAGAAGAGGACTCACCGCCAAGCTGCACAGGTGCTACATGGTCTCGCTCCAAATGACCAAACAAGCTCCAATTCAGCAGCAACAAGCTTCAAAGCCGCCAGCAGCTACTTATGCCAGTACCAGGGTGAAAACAGAGGAATTGGAGCAAGCCTAGGAAACAGAGTCGAATTGGGTGGGATTAAATATGTAAAAAGGAAAAGGTGAATGAAGGCAGATTGAGAGATGGGAGCAAGTCCATCAATTATTTCATTTGGACTGGGAGGGTTTTGGATTTGGCTGATTATCGAGTGACAATTTGATGGAAGGGTTGCAACAAGAAAAACGGAGGTAGAAAGGGGTTTTGAATTTTGATAGAGAAGAAGTGAAGAAAAGGAAAACGAAGGAGGTTTAAGGGGTTTCAATAGAAGGGGAGTTCATCGGAGAACAGATGGGGAAGGCGAAGGAGAGGAGAGAGGGAGAGGAGACTGGATATTGAAAAGGGAATTTTTTTTTAAAATTATTTATTAATTTATTAAATAATTTATTTTTAAAATAAAATATGACATGGCACTTATGTGGCAAGTGTGATTGAGTTGTCTCTGACGTGTGTGATGATTTGGCATCTTAGTCAGCCTAATGTTAACCTAACTAATGGAGTTTCTAACACCGTTAAAGTTTCTAACGGAAATGGCTAGATTTGTCACATGACCGTCTAATTTCTTGGCTATTTTGTGTTTTCGAATAGTTATGGCTATATTTGTCGAAAACGTGAAAGTTATGGCTATACAAGTGTATTTTGCCTTTAAAATATTAAAAGTTCCCTCTTAGTTATTAGGGGGGGTATATATGAAATTGAATTGTACGTTTCCAATTTTAAAAAGAATACAAAATATTAGAAGCTCCCTCCAATATTTTTATTTTCTATAGGTGTTTTACTTTCCCTAAAAAATTGGAGTGCCATGCCGCCTGAAATTATCACTAACTAAAATTAAAATAGTAAAAGTTTGCCAATAGTTTTTGGCAGTTTATGAGGGAGTTGAGGTGTACTTTTCATCCGTTGAAAACAATAAATTGTATTTTTGGTATTACAAAATTTCTGTTGGACCGACCAAAATTTCTTCTAAATCAAGGACCAAAGTCGAATCGTTATAACTTTGATTCGGTCTGGACCATCCTATTGGACCGACTAATCTTTCATTCGAATAAAATCACTCTTAAAGGACAACACAAGAATTAAAAACATGTAACTACACGAAAAGAAAAAATAAAATTATCCCAACTTAAATACTCCACAATTCTTAAAAACCACATGTTCCTTTATATTATGCAAAAAGCTAAACGAGAACTACTGGTAATTAGCATAAATGGTCACAAATCTTTGCACTTAGTACAAAATAGTCACAAACCTTAATTTGTAACCATTTGATAACAAAACTTTTTTACTTAGAAAAAAACGGTCACAAATTAAACAGTGTGACCATTTCATACCAGTTCAAACTTTTGTTACCGTGTCGTTGTAAAGTAGACTTTTGGTGACCGTTTTGTACAAATTAAGTTCAAAAGTTTGAACGCTCAATCACCGTTACAATTCACTCTAGTTGTATGGTGGTTTTGTTAATGTATGTGAATGATATTATGTTGTTTAGGATGACAATTAGAGAACTCAATTGCTCACAAACGGGTTCCAGACTGCTTTTTAGTTGAAAAAACTATGTCTACTTTCTTACTTTCTTGGTATCAAATTGAAAGGTCAACTGAGGGAATTCTTATTCGGCAAAGCAAATATGTCGACGAACACATGACATGGAATCTTATATGTCTTTCATGTAGTTAGTGTCATATACTTAACGCACAAACTACCCGACCTCAAAACATGACCAACATTTAATTTGTAACGATTCTGTAACAAACCTTTGCGCTTAAAACAAAACGATCATAAATTAAATAGCGGTGACCATTTTATACAATTTCAAAGTTTTGTTACCGTATTGTTCCAAATTAAAGGTTTGTGACCATTTTGTACTAAGTGCAATGATTTGTTACCATTTATGCTAATTACCCCAAGAACTACTTAACTAACTAAAAGACAAAAGTCTTTTTCTTCAATCTCAAAGGTAGTCTAACTAATTGTCTCTTCAATCTTCTATTTTCATTTCTTACTAATTGTCTCTCCAAACTACTTAACTAATCGTCTCTCCAATCTTCCATTTTCATTATCTCAATCAACTTCACTAATGGAAAACACTATATTATGTTGTTTAAAATCAGTCAAATAATCTATAATTGTAAATGTTATATACGAAATTAATTTCATGTTTTAATATTGAAAATATGATAAATTTTATTTGTGGTGAATTGAAAAAAGTAATAACCATCCATTCTCTAATTTTTCATTACAAAAATGTGTAAAAAAAAAGTGTCCTAATGGAAGCGGCAAAATGCAACGTAAAAAGAAAATTCAAAATTGTTAAAATTTGGTTTTTACCTTCTCAGAATAGCGCTGTTTTCCGCCAAAAAATTGCGTGTCTTTTGAAGAAGATCTGGTTCTTCTCCCAGAAACGTTTCCTTCATTCTGAACCCCCCATTCTCATTCTAATCCTATCTTGCATGTCGTCAATCTGAGAGAGAGAGAGAGAGAGAGAGAGAGGCGATGGCGGTTCCGCGTTTCTGCCGACGAGTAGAGAGAAAGAGAGAGTTGACAATTCCAATCATTCCATCGACTGGCGACGGCGGTTGGGCGTTTCTGCCAACGAGTAGAGAGAGAGAGAGAGAGAGACGACGATTCCATCGATTGGCGACAGCGGTTCCGCGTAGCTGCCGACGAGTTGCTCGGTTGATGAAACCTGGTGGATTTGGGGTTGTTCCTATGGGTTGTGTTAGGCGAAGATGCTCCAACTGGAAGATAAAGAGTTAGTGAAATCTCGCTTTTCCTTCTCCTTTTCCTTCCCCGATTTTTTGGTTTTCGTTTTCGGTTCTTTGATTTCCTCTTTGTTTGGCACGAGATGCATACAAAACAAATCTGGATTGGTAAGAGCGGCAACTATGGTCCCATTCCCTCGGATTAAAAAGGCCCCCTAAGAAACGATTGCAGGTAGTTGCTATCCAATTTTTCTTTTCGTTTCTTTGAGTTCCTTTTAAAATCAGGACATGACTGGACACTCCCCAATTACCGAGTCCAAACTTTGGGTTTCTGACCTCGTTTCTTTTATTTCGTTTTTTTTTTTCATGTTGATTTGATGCATGCAAATCGGGGGAGGAGGAAGAACTTGAAAGAGCTTCGAGGAGATAAGGTGCTTCGAGGAGGCCATGAATGGGAGAAGCACAAGCAGGGTACTGGGCATCGAAAACAGGTATCTAAGCTTTGAGTGTTTGTTGACAAATTCATGTTGTGAACTGTTTCTCTTGTCTGGACAATTGCATTTAGCTTCCAAGGTCATGTTGAATGCTCTACATAGTTTCATATAGTAACTTGAGAAATGGTTGCTTAACTTCATATTCAATAAATAGTAGATGATGGATGAATATGGAATTGGGTTTTGTAGTATAGACCAAACACCGTTAGATATTTCGATTGTGTTGCTGGAATGTTTGGGTTTTGTTTTCTATATTTCCAAAGAACAGTTTCTTAATTGGTGATTTTGCATTAGGTTGTTGACCATACATTGGAGTACGAAAGAAGCTCCTGCCCCTGATGGTAGCTTGAGAAGAGTACATGCAGCATAGGAATTTTGGTTCACAGCTAGGAATGTCTTCTTTGCAACTTAGTCGAGATGCCTCTGCTGCCGTGAGTAATTTTTCTTGTTTCTTTGCTATCTATTTCCTTTTGTAGTCTCTTCCTGAACTAGCAACCTTTGTGCTATCCGTTTGAGTCATGCAAATTTCGTCTGCATTTTCATCAGGGAGCAGCTCGTGGTGTTACCAAACAAAATACGGATTTGGAGATTGAGTCAGTTGAGGCCTCAAGGAAATCTGAAGTGGACAAATTGAAAAAGCACTTCAGACTGGAGGTAAATTACTCATTTCCAATGTCACAGTTACAATTTTAGGCGGCTTTACTAGTTAGACACATGAATGGGTTTCCATATATTTGGCTTCAACATCTGATTCAAAGATCTACATGTTCTTATGCTGTCAGTTTATGGAGGAGCAACCCTTGAGGCATTAGCTAGCCAGGTCTGCTTCACAGACAAAACAAAAAACAAAAAAACAAAACAAAAAAAAAACAAAGAAGAAAAGCCAGGTATGTCCTTTCAATTGCAAACAGTTCATGTCCCGCAATGTACCCTTCGTCCAACAAAAATATGAAGTGTCGATGGAGTTTACTTTTGTGAAATATACCAAGCTAAAAGATTTTGTCCCCTAAAATCAATAATGAAATTGTAAACTCAATAAAAAGTGGTCATTGCTTTCCATAGGCGTTTCAACTTCTTGCTATGGAAGTGCTAGTGAACTTCATTTGTTTTTCTTGATGCTTCTGTTCTTTGCACCACGGGTTCTAGTCTGATGTTGTTTCTGTAGCAGACCAAAATAAGAAAAAATAATATTAAAGATGTAACTTCCAACACAAAGAATCATCTAATCGCGCATCAAAAAAAAAGAATCATCTAATCTTGCTGGTTAAATAAAAAACATGATTGGAAAAGTACCAGTTGATGTTCATCGCCTGGACGATCATCATGCCAACTAGTACTCCCAGCACTATGTCATGTATACTTCTTAGCTCCCTTTTCTGCTCCCTTCTCTTGTTGACTAGTATTGCTCCTAGTACGTGCCCCGATCTGTAGAGGGCAAATAAACTCTTAAGCTAATAGCCATTTCTAACAAATCGATAATTTAGTGAATAAACAAATGATATATAACCTTCTGTTGTGGCTGACGTTTTCCTATGGGCTCTCCAGTAGTATTATGCCTGCTCGTTCGTTGCTTCTGGTAAAAACAAAATAACAACTGTAGGTTATTAACTCTAATAACTATATCAAGAACACCTAACCAGAGATGCTAATTACCTTTGGGGGCTGACCACCTTGGTCATCATCTCCATCATCGTCGTCTCCATCTTCTCCGTCGTCCCCATCATCATCCCCATCATCGTCATCCTCCTCATCATATTGAGATTCTACCACGTCGGCTGGGGGGTTAGTACAAGTGCTCCTATAATGCCCATCCCTTAGCCCGCAGTTCCCACACTTTCTTCTTTTTTTCTTAAGTTGTTTTTTCCTTTTTCCTTTCCTACAGCCCTTAAACCTCACTTGATTTGGGTTCAATACTTCTTTGAACTTGTCTGGTAAGACAATCCTTTCTCTCTCGGAGGGGGTTTTCTTTACCATCTCCAACTTGTTACACACTGCTGTCAACTCATCTTGAACCATTCTATAAGAGAGAGGAGTGTCTGCTCCTAATAAGCAGAATCGTTGAGACATGAACTGTAGCGACCCGTACCTAATGCTGAAACTGCTTTCATCCCCCAATTTACTTGGTTCTGGCAGAGTGTCTAGGGACTTTCGGTTCTTCGAGCAACGTCTGAGTACCAGTTTTTCAGGAATAGTCTTCACTTTTTCTTCTTGGAGAACAAATAGCATATGAATGCAGGGTATCCCAATACTCTTAAACTTTTAACAACTGCACTCCATATCGCTTGTTTCAATGTTGTATTTCACCTCTATGACCTTCTCTTTGTTGAACATGGTAACAGTGTAAGTGTGTAGGTTCCCCTCTTCAGTTTGGTTACCCTTAATGACTCCAATAACCTCCTCCAACTCATTTTTGAACAAAAAGAAATGCAGCATTTGAGAAAAGCTTTGCTGCACTTTGCTCGAGGGGCTTTAGGATTGAATTCTTCATAGGAACTACACCATAATTAGACTCAAAATCTAATCCAATTTCTGTCTCTCTCATGTCCCTGAGCCACCGGTCGTATTGAGTGAAAAAGTCAAGCAAACAAAACCTCTCATTTTCATACCTTGCAACAACCGCATTTATGCTTTCACATCTTGATGTGGTTGTCAACCCAGCAAAGAAATGTGAGCGCAAGTATGTGTCCGCCCATTCGTTGCGTCTCCCAAATAGTTTTTTCGACACCCATTGGTTGTTCTGGAGTTCACATTCCTCTACCAATGCATTCCATTTCTCCTCAAATTCTTCTGGCTCGAACTCAGCAGTTACTAACTTCTTCCATCGGGGTTCAAAGTCAGGTCGATTCTTCACCCTGCCAGTGATATTCTTGGACAAATGCCATGCACATAGCCTATGTGTTGCATATGGAAACACATTAGCAATAGCTTTCCTCATTGCTTTATCCCCATCCATGACAACTGTACGTAGCGGAATGTCCCCCAACATTTCCTTCACTATCCTCAACGCCCAAATATAGGTTTCGTCAGTCTCATTGGGAAACAGTGCACTCCCGAATAACCAAGTTTTGAAGTGATGGTTGATACCTACAATGTCAAACAGAAACTCGAAAAAATCAGAATCTTTTGAACCAGCAAGAGAAAAGCTAAAACTGTGAGAAATATGTAAACAATGGTAGAGTTCATATAATCAGAAACTTGATGTTTTCTAGATGCCATTATGTGTCTTCAAACAACAAAGCAAAGGATATTACTTAGAGGGCATACTAGGATGGCGTACCTGTAAAAATGACCAGTCGCATATTGTAAATGTTTTTTTGGTACGTTGTGTCAAATGCGAGCAACTCTCCAAAACACGAAATGTCGGCTTTGCAAATGCTGTCAACCCAAAATAAAAAATGGAGCCTTTTTTCCTCATCAGTAGTGTATCGGAGGAGGAAGTGTGGGTCTGTGCTTTTCTTTGATTCTAGATAGGCCAGTGCAGTTGCTGCATCACCCTCGCTGATTCTCTCAGCGCGGTCTTTGGTGTTGAAATTTAACCCTTCTTTAACTGTATACCCAAGTTTGTCGTGCCCTCCAGCACAATGCACAGCAAGCTTAATGGCCTGAGAAGGTTTCATTCCGGCATCCTTTTTAAATCGGAGGTTTGCCTTGTCTGCTTCTGTTAATCCTCGATGCGACCTCAAGTAATGTACCTGATTCTGCCTAACTGGGTCATGAGTGTGTTGTGAGTTAAATATATCAGCAACCCACTTATTGTTTGTCTTGTTCAAGCTCACACGAAACATAGCCATGCACTAAAATCTGATCTCCATAGGCGACTCCCTCTTTTGTGGACCTTTATGTGCTTCTCGAACTCCCTGACAGGAACACACGAAGGCTGCACTTGTTACCTCTCCCTTGACGTTCTTAACCTTCCTTGAGCGACGGACAGAAAACCCCCAACTCTTAGCATAGTTGTTGTAGAACGCATATGCATCCTCAAAATCATTGAATTCCTGACCGATAAAAGGAGAATTTTGAATAACGTTTGTGTCATCCTCCTGTACAGTAGGACCATTGTTGTCAGAGGTCATTGTTTCTGGTATGATTTCAACATCGTTGTCTTCATTGTTGTTGATATTATCTCCCTCTTCCTCCATTGGTGTGCTGTCTTTTTTCTGTTTGTGGGGAGGGGCTAAATCGGGCGCAAAGCAGAGGTCTTTTTGCCGTTGTTGTTAACCTAATCCGTTTTTCACGTGTTATTAGTTTTTTCTATTTTTTCCCGTCATGGTGTACAGTTTTTTTTATATTTTAGTACTTTAAATTTTTATTATATTGTTTCCCGTTATGGTTACTAGTTGGATAAAGAATGCAACTAATAAAGAGTGCTTGAATTACCGGAAAAAAATACTAAAGAATGCTTGCGTGTTATATATGGTAGATTCAACTTCCAAATAGGTGTGCGGATTGTTTCCATGTTAATTATTACCCGTATACAATATTATTTTCCTTTTCCATGTGGAGGTTAATGAGGAAGATAAAGTTTCCAGTATCCTTATAGAGAAAAACACTCACTCGTTGCCCTAGTTTAAGAATGCTAACTCCTTTTCTGCATTCACCAGGAGCTCATTCAGGACAGCAGTACAGGAACTCGGTCAGGGGGGCAGAAACCAGGAGCAATATGCAGAACGATAAGGACGGCAGGATGATGACAAAACAAAAGACCAGAAGTTCTTCCAAATTAATGGTTAGTCAATTTGCATTCTTTTTTCCCCGTTTTCTCCATCGTTGGCAGATTATTCTTCCAAACTAAATAAGGCATTGTGTTTTTATTACGATGAATTCTTTACTGGAGAAGGATGAATCTCAAGGAAAGAAAGGTAGAACTGAAGATGGTGTGATCCAGATTGATGGTGATTTGCAGGCAGATTGGAATGACTTAGTTTGGAAAGGCCGTACCAGATTTTCTTACTTACAATTCGACAAGAAGGTATGATAATCTAGCCACCAATTTCCCCCGCTTAGAACAAAATCAATTGTTTTTATCCTAATAAGTCTTCTATTGTAGGGTGAAACAAAGTTTACACTTCCAACACTTCTCAAGTACACTAGAGAGGAAGTGAACCTTGCCCACTACATATTTGCGAAGGATCTTCCACAAAGGGAAGTCCTGGTTGAAACCATGATGCAATCCTATACACGAAAGGTTTTGTGGTCCCTCTGCCCTATGTCTAATGTCGATGATGATGTAATTACAGCCATGGATTGCCAATTGAGCCTAGAGGAAGTTTGGAGGGATGTTGGAGATGGAAGAGTAGTCTGTTATCTGCCTGCTGAACTACAAGTATAGTCCCATTTACTTTGTATATTTATTTTAGGTGCAATATTCTGTTTCTCCTATTAAATGTGTTATCTTCTATTTTAAATGAACAATGATCAGGAAATGGTAATTAACTATGGCATGACATCAAAAAAAGCTCTAGAGTGTTACGGTGCAAAGTTCTTGGCAAGAGCTCACACGTGCAGAAAGGTTTCTTCTTAACAATTCCTTTCTTGTTTCATTGAAATATTCCTCAATTACTGTTTCTAGCTACTGTTTGAATTGGATATGCGAATAAATTAGATGTTCCATCAAGCTTTTGATATTTCTATAAATTGTATTTTACAATGCTCAGCTGAGTTTGGTCTTTTTCGTCGTTATTTAGGTGTGTCTGCCCATGAAAGATGCAATGGACGGTGATGCAGTTCACTGGTATTTAGCTGTCATTATGCTGGACGACAAACAAGTCCATCTATTGGATTCGTATCCTTCTAAAAAGCGCCAAAGAACTCGTAGAAACGCAGTAGTAACTATGGTATGGTTTGACCTACTGATCCGAATACAGTTATATCTCTAAATTGATTTATGTATTCATCTATCCCGAATAAAGTGATTACTACTTATGTAGACCGAATTTCTTGATGACTTGTTTGAGGATCTTTATCGGCAAGTGGAACCAACACTTGATCCACCTGTGCTGGAACAATTTTCAATGACAATTCCTTCGATTCCCGAACAACGTCACGAGTAAGAATTGTTCGTTGTGAATAAATTAGAAACTTACTTAGATACCCACCACTCATATGCTGCATCTTATTTTATGTAGGTCTGATAGTGGCGTTTGGGTGTGCTCATGGATGATGGGTGCATCTTGGGATGCTTCTTATAATATATGGGTAAGCAAGAATTCTCTTACTTGGCCTTGAAGGAAAACAACCTTTCGAAACAGCTACTAAGCCTCATTGTCAAACTGTTGCAGCCATGCGGAGATATAAGGAGACTGCAACTAGCTTTGTATCTGGTCCAACACCCTACAAATTACATAAGACATGTCGTCATCGAGGAAGCAAATAGTAATGCATCGAGATTTGTTTCCCAGACTCGTAGGTACAAGGAAGAAAGCCAAAAGAGCGTAATCCAGAACTAGAAGTTTCATAGGGAGATGGTGGTTCATTTCTCCTGCAGTAGTATATTCTGGATATTTGGTTGATTAGTTCTCCTGCCAGTACTCTAGTTTTGTTTCCCTTTTCATTTTCGTTGAGAACCAAAACAATACCCTTGAATTGTTTGAATTGTCTGCTTGTCTCTTTCCCTTTTCATGTTCGTTGAGAACCAAAACAATACACTTGTTATTGGGTTAAAATTTTGTTATTGAAGCTATTTGTTGGATCCAACATGGTTAGGTTTGCTCCGATGAACGCATACATCTCCGGCGTCCTCCGGTGGCAAGATATGAGATATCCAAAGGCCAAAGCCAAGAATTGGCGCGTTTTTTGGGCCGAAATAAAGATAACAAAAACCCCACTAACCAGGAGAAGGTCAATAGTTTCTTGACGTGGAATTGAGGGGGACGAAGCGAGTCGGCAACCGGAAACTGTGGCGGAAACTGGTTCAAGTTTTATGACTTTATCCGGTGTGGACTTAAGAGGGAAGAAAGTTCCAAGATGATGGTCGAGAAGGAAGGAAAAAAAATTGGGTGATGTGATTCGAACGCAGAACCTCATTTAACTACAGTAGCAATTTTCCGCTGGTAATGGGGGGAGAAACGGGCGACCAAATTTCCAGGAAACTACATTTTGTTGTTTTGCAGAGCTATCACAGTTCGTTTGCTAATAGATTTTTCAAATGAAAAATGAACAACAAGTGAACACGTTTTCTTACTCATATTTCTTATTTTTTGTTGTGACAACAAAAAACATAAATGAAATGGCAAGTGAATGGGGCATAAGGCTCAAGCCTAGGCGCCTTCTTTAAGCCTTATCTCAGCTGAACAAGCATCAGGAACAAAGCCACAAAAACGTGAACCAACATTCGGATTTAAGAAAAAATAAAGGTAAACACCAAAACCAATCTAAAATGAATTTAGTTGGGATCAAAGTGATAGTAAAACCGACCGACTACCAATAAAAGTATAAAACCGACCGACTACCAATAAAACAAAAAAAACTACTTTTCTAAAATGAATCAAATAAACTCTTTTGGCATTTTGAGCTGATTTTCCCCTTGAAATGTCTTTCATAAACGGCCCTTGCTTCATTAATAATTTGAGAGCGCCTTGTATTTGAGAGATCTTTGACTAAACTTATGGCCAAGGATAGTCGACCTCTATTACTACAAACCTGCAGCAAATTTAGAACATTACTCTTAACATGTTGATTTCGATTTGATAGTGTAGAATCTCACGTGGATGGAATCATATTTAGAAGGAAAGGATTGTATTATACCGTCGTATACGAATTATTATCAGCCTCTCCGTGCAACATCCACTGACAGACGTAAAACCCGCACTCATAGCTACGTGGACAAATAGCATTTATTATTGAAAATAAGATTGTGAATCGAAATGAAATAATCAAAATACTCACAGAAATACTAACTCATCAATTTGCTTAGAAACGTATGGAGGACTTATGATTTGGAACATATGCACTTTGGGCACTTCATAGGTTAATGGCTTGTCTTGAAATTCTTGAAGCATCTTGTAAAAGAATTTCAACTGTAACAACAAACTTAACCACGTAACTATTACAGTACAAAAATTAAAAAAAAAATTGACTTACTAAATTTACACGAAGGGAATAGTTTGATCACCCACCATTCCTTGCAGTCTTTTCCTACTATTTTCCAGCAAACCCAAATCAATAGGCAAAGAGTCCACTACATGCAATACCTTTCGGTCCATGAAAACCACAATAAGAAACCAATGGCGGTTCTCATCATTCATTGGCAAATATATCTGAAATAAATAAACAAGTAAATGATGACGAAAGAATGAATGGACTATACAGTAAAGGGCAAAACATTAAGAGAATATAGTACCCTGGAAAAATTACTAATATTATTACACCATACCTTGGTGCATTCAAAGGTGCCGCAAAGATATAGGTTCTTATAATTTTCCACGGCTTTTTTTGGAGTCCAACCCATTTTCACAACCAAATCCTGGGTAGCAGTTCACATTCACTATTCAACTTTGGGAGAAAGAAAAAAGTAAACTTACTGTAAAGAGCTTTCCATAATTGTTGCTTACCTCAAAATTGGATGGAAGGTACTAAGGTCCCTTTTTCCCCCAAGCCCTAACATCAACAGCTAATTGACAAGCTACACCAGTCAAAATCTAAAATAAGTAAAATCCAAGATTAGTATAGCTAATATGTGGTCAAGTATGCCTTACCAAAACAGAACTACAAAATACTTACATAACCATGAAGCCACGTTTCTAGCAGCAAGTCCTTCAGTTCTAGACGACTTAAACTAAGGCCAAAATTCTCAACAAGCCATTTATACTCTTATAGACCATCACCAAAGATGAAACACGCAATGGAACGATCCTCATCATTATCTAACGCCATTATTGCAGTCACCGGAAATTCCACCTACGATTTGAATTTACCAAAACTTACAATACATAGGTACATCATAAACATTTTAAAATCGCACAGGTGTAATTTCTTTAAATAAATTCTATATACCTTCCCCGATACATTTACATATTCCACAGCCGCATTTTTTGGCCTCTTGTGTGAATCATCGCCATCTACGTCTGAGTCGGAATCTATATAAATAAGTCTGTTTACGCTAGGTGTGAAAGGAACAACAGTGGGAGCTGAACTTCCAGATGCAGTCATGATAGACCGTTAATTACACATGTTTTCACCCCTGTTCTTACACCGTTTGAGATGTGGTTTCTCGTGTTTTAGACCGATTTCACGCTAGGTTGTTCTTGTTTGTGATATTTCAGGTCCTGGCAAGTGAATGAAGGTTTAGGAGCGAGTTCGGGGTCGATTGGGCGAAGATCGGGTGCGAGACGAGTCACAAAGGAGGTCACACGGGCACACCCACAACTCACACGGCCGTGCAAGTGACCACTTTGGCCGTGTGAGATTGTGCGAGAGCAAACACGGCTTGCCCTGATGTTCACACAGCCGTGTGAAGGAGAGGTTTGGCCGTGCGAGTTTCGCCGAGAGCAAACACGGGCAGATGGAAATCTCACACGGCCGTGCGACCCTGGCCGTGTGAGAAGCCTGAAGATCGAACTAATTGGAACGCAGCGTTTTGACTCACACGGGCAACTGGGTAAGCCACACGGCCGTGCCACCCTGGCCGTGTGAGTCGGGATTTTCTGCTTTTAAGCATATTTTCAGCCACAAGTCGAGGGGATTCGGGTTTTTGAGAGAGAGAACGATTCCTAGAGAGAGAAAGCGACGAACAAGAGTCTCCAAGTGCCCTAGATTGATCTTCAACACCATTGGAGGCCAGTTTGAACTTGGAGAAGTGCCGATCAACGTCCAGAAGCAGGAATCCATCCTTCACAGTATGAATTTCGCGTCTGATTCTGCTTTTGCTTCTTTCTCCATGGAGTAGTTCTCCCATTCATCTGGGTATGGAGAACCCTAGATTTGTATGTTAGGTTAGATTGTATGAACCCAAGTACTGATTCTATGATTTGATTATATTCAATTGAGGTTTGAATGATTGAATGGCATGAATCCTGATCAAATTCCTGTTGTTTCTGCTTTAACCTAGAATGAGAATATCTGCCTAGGTTGATAGAGCATCCTTCATTGAAGGTAGGGAGTTGGTGACTTTAGTCGAAGAGCCAACTCACTATTCTGTACCGGATTTACTCCGGTGGTGGAGGTTTTGTTCATAGGGCCTCAATCTGTTTACTCCGGTGGAGGTTAGTCGCCCGCTAGAGACTCAGATTGAGAGGGTCTGAAGACCTTTAGTAGAGACTTCAGGCTGTTTAAGAACCTTCCGCAGTATAACTATCATAGAAACTGAACTTGGTAATTACAATCCGGCTTAACTGCAGTCTAGGGGGAACCATATCTGGGTGACCTCTCTTAACTTGAATAGAACAATTTACTTGCTTTGTTAGTTTGTTAGTTTAGACTTGCATTAAAGTTTCATTGCTAGATAACAAGAATTCACTGAGTGGTCATCAAATCTAGGACCCGGGTTGACATTTAAACCTAAACCCGCTATACTACGCTTTAGGAAGTGGTTTCACTTGGCCAATTCCTGGAGTGACAGTAGAAGTGAGTCAAGTCACCGGAAATTCCATCTACGATTTGAATTTAACAAAAATTACAATGCATAGGTACATCATAAACACTTTAAAATGACACAAGTGCAAATTGTTTAAATAAATTATATATACCTTCACCGACTCATTTAAATCTTCCATGACCGCATATTTTTGCCTCTTGTGTGAACCATTGCCATCGCGATCTGAGTCTGGGTTTGAATCAATATAATAAACTCTTTTTACGGTAGGCGTGACAGGAACATCAGTGGGAGGTGAACTTACAGATGCTTGATCAAGAATGTGTTTCAACATCCTCTTTAGCACTTGAAATTCAGTATCAGTTTTCATTATCATTGCAGTCAAAGATTTAATCTTATCGTACAACTCAGTGAACGTCGTCTCCATGGCTCGAAAGGTAGTCGATATGGATCCAACAACTTCCTTAGTATCATGGCTCGACATGCTAAACAAAAAATTTTGCCCGCGTAAAACAATAAATAACTAAGGACTTACATAATTGTAGGGAATTAAAGGAGCATCAAGTCATAAACAAACAAAAATCAAAGCGGCTTAAGGAGCGAATAAAGACAGCGCATACATGAAAGGAAAAAGGTTGTAAGAAAGGAACAACACAAACGACCAAAAGAAAGAGCTATTTTAGTTGTTGCACTGTACCGAGATTTCTCCATTGCAATGAGTTTATCTCCCCGCCAACACAGAAGAAAAGCCTTACTTTTGCTAAAGTCACCAGGGAAAACGGCAGGAATTATTTTTTACAAGGTAAACTCTAGGCTTGGCGCCCCTTTATATAGACCGCCAAACAAACCTAATTTATTAATACCATTACGTCCAATAAAAGAATTCCTCTATTGACACCTAAACTGATCCAACTAAGGAAAGCAAGCCTATTAACAAGGAGTACAGATTAAATCCCCACCAATGACAAGCCTATTTACAAGCATATTCCTCTACTGCTTTTGGCTCCACCAGCGAACGAGGGAGGCCATCTCCACTGGCTATAAAGAACACCTGAAGAATGAGAATCAATTTATCAGTAGCCAACCTAGTATTGTTTCTTTCTTGACCAAAAAAAATATCGGCCATCACTATTTATGAACCGAACACAGACGTAATTACACATATCACATATGCATTGGAGAGAGAGAGAGAGAGAGAGAGAGATAAGAAATGATAGACCTTCAAGATATCGAAGTCTTCTTCCATCATAACAACATCTGAATCAGAGAATGCACGAGAGGGGCCTCAGTTAAGCAACACCCAAACATATCCCTACTGTAGCAAGATAATGTGTACAAATTATATACAAGCTATAATGGAAGGTTTGCGAATTCAAAGTACAAAAGAGAATTTGAAGACCTACCAACGATGCTCGGCAAACGCTTAACAACACTGAGTCTCTGAATTTATCATCAATCAATCGGCATATCTAATCAAGAACCTGAAAATTATATGCAAGTTCAGCTAAGAGAAGCAAGCAAGACAAACAAAGAGGAGGCTCCACTGAAGTTGACAGTCTTACATTATCTACTTGAGGAAGGAAATTTCCCAAGCGAGAAGATCCAACATCACCAATTTGTAAAAACCAAACAAGAATCTCTCTCTGAGATCCCAAAAGATTACTCTAGCACCTGCCAAGTGACATTCGAAAAGAAAGACACCAGGGAGGTCAGTTCTACAAAAAGAAGGCAGAATGAGAGAATACATACAAGATGGATAATAATTCAAACTTGATTGAAAGCTAGCAACAACTTAAGCCATCACATTGTTTAGAGTTGTGTAAGTGGTTAATTAGAAATTGTAAAGAAAAGGTTTTATTAGATGAATGATGTATGCTAATATCTCTTTAAATCTTGAGAAGCAGAAGGCAGTTCTTTCAATAATGGTTCATTATAGAGATATCAAGCATTCTCCAAAGAGTGAGTTCTTCACATCAACGGTTCCAATTGTTAAAAAGTCATTCAAACACCAATCTTTCACAAAAGTCAACCATGCTCTGAGCCTCGAAAGACGACAAATTATCACAGATTCTGTATAGCGAGTTAACGGAGGAATGGGCGGGATATAGATTATTCCTCGGAACTGCCAATGCGACACGAGAGCAAAACAACTATGACTTAAACTATGTAAGATACAAAGGGAAAGTAGTCTAATCAACATTGGCAGAATTCAACTCCTTTTCCTGTCCAGTTAGTGGTCAAGTAGCATACTAAAACAAATTGACTGTTCTATCAGGTGTAGCATAATACATAACTGACTCAACAGTTTCCGCAGAGAGGAATCCAGGTTGTGAAAAATTATAGACAGCAGCGCCTGCAGATGTGTAATACCTAAATGACTCAACTATTGATGTCGCTTGCCTCTTCTGCATGGACAAAGGTTCCCAGTCCTGCACAAACAACAGGAAACACAAAGGTTCCCAGTCTTGCATACCCCAGCAACTATTTTCAAGTTCACATGTTTCGCAAATTACCCTACCGTGGTTGTTCATATTTAATTCAGTGCGTTTAACAATTGCATAGTACAGCTTTAAGTGATCAAGGTGAATCTGATAGAGGCTTGCACTAGAAATCATCCACCGCAATTACGGACTAACCTCAAGGTCAAAAGAACGACCAGTTCATCCCAAAATGTGATAATGCTGAGAAATCACCCAGTCAATAAAAAAGGGTTCAGAAACTTCTACTATCTGCACATGGGGAAAGGGAGACAGCGAATCTTAATGTGTTATTGCTACCAATGAAATCAGACATCCCATAAACATCCAAAGACAAATTTCAAACACAAATTTGACCTAGTACAACTTCTACTTCTGCAATTTCAAGTAAGGCCCATTATTCATACCTATCAAAGTTTATGCCATCAGTCTCGTTCGTCCGCTCTGGCTGCTGCGGTTGGTATTCACACTTTCCGTTGGCCATCAACGGCAGCGTACCTACCCACAGCTATCGGCGATCCGCACTTCGGCCCACCTCTCGAGTCTGCACTCTTCACTTCTCCGATCCTTCCTCATCCGCCTCTCGAGCACAAGATTCAATCCATCATGCCTCGAACAGATCACTCTCTTAATCCATAGAGGGATTAAACATCGATGGGAAGCGCAAAATCCAATTGCTTCAATCGAGCCAGGATGAGAGGAGAGGGTTCGCCAGCCACTACAGACAACAATTGGAAAGGGGGTTTGAGCGTTGACATGAGTGGGAAAAGGAATAAATCACCAAACTAAAATTGTAAGTAAATATAACTTAATGGATTGGAGACATGATTAGAATAAAATTTGGTACTATAATTCGAAAATATGTTGAAAAGTTTGTTTAGGGGTTAAAGGGTACGCATAAAAAAGTAATAGGACCAACTAATCATTTAAAAATTGTAAAAGTTAAATAATTTAATTCCAATTAATAAACACCGTTAGATTAGATCTACGGTGTATAAATCCTGTCGCATAGTATGTGTCTGACGCATACGAGTGTGACCCTTGACCTCCGCCAATGGCTCACTGCCGCACTATATCGTTATTCACTTCGCACCATCAGAATTCATATCGAGAAAGCCTCTGAATGATCCACCTCTATTGGTACTTGATACAGCAATTTAGCTTAGACCCATTTATACCCCTGTTCGTCCTTCATGGCTAATCTGCATCCCTACGGAAAACCGAATACGCCCTTAATCATCCTCCGGTAGAACAGAAGCAAAAGGTTGCAGAGACCCAAAACTACGTGGCCAACACCACATCAGTATGTGTAAGCTGCAACAGAAGCTATCTATCTATACACAGACAAATCTCCATGCAGAAACTATCCAAAGCTCTCCAAAACCCCCCGCCACGTCCCAAAACCGAAACCCGCCTTCTCCTCCTTTCCGCACTGCTTTCCACTTCCCATCCCATCTATAAATACCCACCGCAATCCCCACTCCAATTTCATCCCATCTCACTACCAACACTTCTCAGCAAAGATGGCGTCCTCCGCTTCTCTGCTCTCCCTAGCGCTCTGCTCCCTCCTTCTCTTCCAAGTCTGCTCTGCCCAATTCGAAACCGGCCGAGTCTGGGGATCATCAAGGTCCCAGCGGAAATCACAGCAGCAGAACGAGTGCCAGTTCCGCCGCATCAATGCCCAGGAGCCCGACCGCAGGATCACATCCGAGGCCGGCATCACCGAGATCTGGGACGAGAACGACGACCAGTTCCGGTGCGCCGGCGTCGCCGCGATCCGCCACACCATCGAGCAGCGAGGTCTCCTCCTTCCCGCTTACTCCAATGCCCCCAAGCTCATCTACGTTGACCAAGGCAAAACCCAATTTCCCCTGTTCCTGTGTTTTTTAATGACTCTGTTTTTCATTTACTTGCTCTGTTTTTTTATGGACTCTGTTTTTCATTTACTTGCTCTGTTTTTCAAATGTGGAGTGCAGGGAGAGGGTATCACAGCGCAGCGATTCCGGGCTGCCCCGAGACTTACCAATTCGAGCAGGAGTCTGAATCAAGGGATCCGAGGCAAGGATCGAGAGATCAACATCAGAAGATCCGGAAGATCCGACAAGGCGATATAATTGCCATCCCAGCTGGAGTTGCGGACTGGTTCTACAACGACGGTCAGTCTCCTCTGGTTCTTGTCCAGATCATGGACACTAGCAACTTCGCCAACCAGCTCGACCAGAACTTCAGGGTAATTCATTCGTTCATTCGAGTAAAATTTCAATTTCATTCCGCCAATTGATTCAACATAGTCACTGACGATTTGATTTTTCTTTCAATTGGGTGGGCTTTCAGAAATTTTTCCTGGCAGGGAACCCGCAGAGAGAAATCCAAGGGCAGAGGGGACAGCCTTCGAGGCACCTATACCGTGGAAGCGAGAAGGGAAGAGGCGGCGGCGCTGGAGGCCAGGAGCAACGGTCCGGCAACATCTTCCAGGCCTTCGACGAGCAGTTCTTGGCCGAGGCGTTCAACATCGACACCGACCTGGCGAGGAGGATCAAGAACGAGAACGACAACAGGGGAATCATCGTCAGGGTGGAGGAGCAGCTGGAATTTCTGAGCCCCGAATTCAGCGAGGAAGAGAGGAGGCAATCGTCCCAGGGCGGCGGAAGAACCGGCCGCTGGTCTGCTAACGGAATTGAGGAAACCTTCTGTACCGCCAAGTTGAGGCACAACATTAACGACCCTTCACGCGCCGACATATTCAACCCACGCGCCGGCCGGCTCACCACCGTCAACAGCTTCAACCTCCCCATCCTCCGATACATTCAGCTCAGCGCCCAAAAGGGCTTCCTCTACAGGGTAATTAATACTCTCTTTCTTTGTTTGTTTGTTTCGTTCTTTCTTTTCAAGTTGCTTATTGATTCAAATGTTGCTGCTGCAGAACGCGATCATGACGCCGCACTGGAACATGAACGCGCACAGCATCAACTACATCACCAGGGGCAGCGGGCAGATCCAGATCGTGAACGAGAACGGGGAGAGCGTGTTCGACGGGCAGGTGCAGGAAGGGCAGATCATCACCGCGCCGCAGAACTTCGCGGTGATCAAGAGGGCCGGCAGCGACGGGCTCGAGTGGATCTCCTTCAAGACCAATGACAACGCCAAGATTAACCAGATCGCCGGCAGAGCGTCGACGATCCGCGCGATTCCCCAGGATGTGCTCGCGAATGCGTTCGCGATTTCGAGGGAAGAAGCGCAGAGGATCAAGTTTAACAGGCGGGAGATTGGGATCTTCAGCCCTGGAACCAGGTCGCGTGGAAGGAGGGACTGATTTTGTGTCTGCTTATGTAATCGTAAATGACAAATAAGATAAGTAATCAGTACTAATAATAATAATAAAGCTACGAACTTTACGGTTGGATCGTCAGGGAGAGGCGGGTTAGTACTTCATTTCCGCCTCTTTGTATTTTCGCGGGAAACAAACAGCTTTGGTCATGAGTTTAAATAATAAAAATTATGCTTCTTTATGGAACTCTCCTTTTTTTTTTTTCCGATAACTAATTAGTCAATTCTCTTATTAAGCTCACTTGTAAAGCATGCATAAGAAAACTACCAATTAGTCAAAAGCAAAGCACATTGGGTTAATATCTTATTATGGCCTGAACTATGACCATGTAATAAACTTTGACTCGTGGTTTGAGAAATTAACATCCTGGCTCGAACTATGCAGGAGAAGAGGAAACAGGAGAAGTTGGCAATGCTTGAAGACTTGACGATGCTGACCGAGATCAATTCAGCTAGTTTTGGTGAATTGCAAAGTATTCGAAATGCGATTTGTGCGCTACAAAATTGGCTAACCGCCTGTGCAATCGTTGTAGTTATGTTTCTTTTTGTTTTGGTGATTGTCCAATTGTAAGCTTGTTGTCTAATTGTGTAATTTCTGATGAAATCAAAGAACTGCTCCATTATGATACCTTATTTCCTTCCTATTATCATGTTCTTTCATTGAAGCTTTCATTGAAGCATAACTGGGACAAACATATACAACTTCATTCATTCATAAACATAATCTGTTTGATCATTCAAACATGTCCGGAACATTTACAAAAGGGGCAATACATAAGTTTAGGACAAGGTTCATTTCCAGACCATTTACAAAAGGGGCACTACCTTAGTTTTGGACAAGGTGTGCCTTAGTTTAGGACAAGGTTCATTTCCAGACCATGTACAAAAGGGGGAATCCTATCTTTGGACCTACTTTACATATTTCTTCCTACACTCCAACGAATCACAATGATTCGTAACATGCACATAGCATGCACAAAATAGGAGTTTTATCTACTTCCTAACATAGCATCTTATGATTTCCTAAGGCGACTCTGGTTGAGTAGTGGGAGGCCGTGTGGTATTGACAGGAGGCAGGTCTGGTTCTGTTGCTCGTACCCCACCAGGTGGTGGCACTCTGTGACTAAGCTGCAAAATAGTAGGATCTTCATATTAGGAATAGAGTTCACAACAAGCACTACTCTGTCACTAAGCTGCAAAACTCTGTTACACACCCTTGCATACATGTTTCCAGTGTCCATATCAATGTAGGTTCCATTACCTTGCATCGCCCTTCTCATTTCACGATCAGTTACCCTTTTACTACACGAACCAACATGGGGGGCCTACACGTTCATACACATTCAGTGATTTCATTCTTTCATTCATTCCATTCATTCATAGTTACAGATGGTTACCTGAATCCCTACAAGTAGTGGACAACGTCTTGCATTATGGTGCTTTGATCTACACTTGCTGCAATGACCCTTCTTCTTTTCTCGTGGCAGCTGTAAAATGTTACATTAATAAACATTCATAACAAATAACTAATAAGTTTTAAAAGGATCCTCTTCGAGTTACTTGATTCTCCCTTCCAGCGTCTTGATTTGATTGAGGAACAGGTGCCATAGGAGTTGGGTGTGCTTGCTTCTTCTTCTTAGGAGCTGCTTTCTTCGGGGCAACAGGCTCATTCTTACATGTCCTCGAATTGTGGCCTTCTCCACCACAATTCCCACAATGAAAAGAGATGTTCTCCCTACTAGCAACCTCCCCAATTCCATTTTTAGCTTGCTTGCTTCAGATCTCCAAAGCCTCCCTTCGACGTTTTGTCTTTGGACGACCAGGCATGCGCCTAATCCGAGGAGGGTACACCTTGTTCCCAAACACGGGCATCCATGCTTGTCGGCCTTCCAATGCTGGAATGGGAAACTTGTATGCCATTTTGACAAACTCCATCTTGAAGAAACCATCAACGTAAAGGTCCAGATGTCCTCGCATGCTTCTGATGGATTCAAAAGCATGACTACAAGGAATACCATTTAGTGCCCACCAACCGCACGTACATGCCCGGTTCTTCAAGTCAACCACAAAGGCCTTGTTCTCGACAGCAACCTCATGCATCGTCTCAGATGAAGGACGACTAGTACACATTCTCGCTTAATGCTTTGACTTCTGACACGCTAAAACACAACACCAAACTGCGACCAAGTGTAATCGCAGTCCGGAAATGCAGTAACAGGCAAGCTCTAATTGTCAACCCGGGGTCTAGATCTACTGCCTATTCCGTGTATATCTGTTATCTAGCAAACTAAGTTGATTGATTGTTGATTTAAGTAAAAGCAGTAAGAAAGCACGAAATGGTTCGATTTTCTAAAGCAAAGAAAGAGTCACTCGGGAATGAGTCCCCCTAGCTCCTTAGTTAGGTCACAGTTATGATTACTTTTGGTTGCTTTACTGCTGATTATACTGCGGAAGATCCGACAGTAGCTTGGAATCTCTTAAGCTGACCAAGCCCTCTCAGTCAAACTACCCGGTAGACGACTAATCTTCACCGGGATAGAAAGCTGAGGCAATGAACACAGAACTCCACTACTGGAATTAGATTCCAGTACAAAGCAATGAATCGACTAACTCTCGTATAATCGATTCACTACTACCGATTGAAGAAGCTCTAACAACCTAATCAGATTCTATCTATCTCAGGTTGCAGCAGAAATCAATAAAAGATGATCAGGCTTCAATTGACTCATTCAAAACACTTCAATCGATTAAAATCAAGCAATATCACAATCCAAAATTCGTTACAACAATGATCCCTAACACATAGAACTAGGGTTCTTCATACCCAAGTGAGAGAGGGTTCTACTCGATAGAGAGAGAGAGAGGAAAACAACAAACAAAGAAGTCATACTCATCAAGATGGAAAGAATCTGCTCTGGGATGATGATCTTCATTCCAAGGACGATTTCCAAGCTTGATTGATGAAACCCAGCTCCAAAACCACTCTTAGGGGGTGTTCTTCGCACTTTCTCTCTCTAGGACTCTGTTTTTGCTCCGAAAAGTCTATTCCCTCTCCTTTGGCTCGAATTTGGGTAAAAACCCAGAAATTCCCGACCACACGGTCAAGCCACACGGCCGTGTGGCTTTCCCAGCTGCCCGTGTGAGTGTGCAAAACGCCGCGTTTCACTTAAGTGACTTCGGGTATGCTACACGGCCAAAACCACACGGCCGTGTGGATTTCCAGGATGCCCGTGTGAGCTCCTCGGACTTTCCACACGGCCACAAGGGTTCCCTTACACGGCCAGTGTGGCTTGCCCGTGCAATTTGATGTCAACGACCGTGTAGGTTTTTAGGCGTGCCCGTGTGGCTTCCTCTGCTTCTTGCCAACCGTCCAATCTTCGTCCAATCGACCCCGAACTCGTTCCCAAACCTTCATTAACGTACTAGGGCCTGAAATATCACAAACAAGAACAACCTAGCGTGAAATCGGCCTAAAACACGAGAAATAAGACTCAAACGGTACAAGAATGGTGGACAAAAACATGTGTATATATCAAGTCATCAAATTCCCCCACACTTAATCGTTTGCTTGTCCCCAAGCAAACCAAGTCAGATATGAGGTAAGCTCAGAATATTTCAATCATACCAACATTGGGGACAAATCATATAGGCACATAACACGTGAATCATACTGGCTTTTGATCATTGCGATATGGAAAACTAAATAGCAACCTAGACAACCACCACAGAGGACATTCGAGTGCAGCAAACTCGGGTAAAGGAAGAGGAATCCTTTCTGTTCACCAACCAACATAGACTTGACTCAACCACTTGACCAAGATAGTCATCGCATGTATCAAACTCAAGACATCAGGATCAAGACTGAGCCATCTAGGTCCTCACCGGGGTAAAGAGCATAAAGAATAAGGAAATGAATCGCTCACTCTCGACTAGTGGGGTCAAGACACTTTGATGCGAAAAATGCGCATGCTTATTCTCTCAAATCCTAACATCTCTTCACCATGATGGCAGCCTCTAAATGTTAGAGCTCACACAAGGAATGTCACCATTAACTAATCCATGGGTCTTAGACACAGGTTCAAGTGACTAGCTAGGGTCTTGGACATGGGGAAAAGGCCTTTTTGGTGGTGGAAGTAGTCAGTTGAGCACAAGGTTCCACAATTCCAAACCCAACACAATCACAGTCAATCAAACAACTTACTTTCTTTCTGTCATTCTGTATTACTCGAGTTTTTAAGAGCACAAGAGCGAAGGAGGTTACAATAATGTTAGTATTTCTCAGCCAGACTGCTAAGAAACACTACTTAACGGGCACTATTCAGATTTGTGGTGGTGGCTCTCTTTTGCTTTCATTCATTTTTTTTCTCATTTCTTGAGAGAACCACCACCTATGCACATTTTTCAAACACATGCCCAACTTTTTAAGAACTACCTCCAACCCTCTCATTATATTTAGCTGAAACAACAGAGAACATGTAAAAACCACTATGTGGAACCTTCTAAGAGATGCAAAAGGGGTGATTTTTCATTGTAGACCGAAAGAAAGGATAACACATGGCTCAAAGGGGCTGACTAGGGGGTATGACACACCAGGACAGTCAATTTGGTCGTGGGCTAATCCTATGCCTCCATCATCTTAGCTAGTGACAACGTGAATGCTACACATCATGGAAGAGGGAACTATCGCACAAGAAAGAAACGAGCAGGCTCAAATCTCACGTGGCTACCTATATGCTCTATCTCTCATTTTGATTCCCTGAACTAGATGCATAAACGACTGTCAAGAGCAAGTGATCAATCCAAGTCACAGTTGGTAAGCAAACAGTTGAAAAACTGAACCCCTGCACAATTCTACTGCAAGTCTCAGTCATCATCATAGGTTTTCCTAGTTACAATCAAGCTGACATGTAATAATTCGAAAACCATTAGATTCACCAATCAAATCATAGTGCCAATATGATCATGCAAACAATGATACTTGGAGCCCTTAAATCTCGAGATTTGTACAGCAAACTAGGCTCCAAGCACCCATATATAGATTTCAACTTATACAAAGCACCCCCCCCACACACACACACTTAAGAACGACATTGCCCTCAATGGAGGAGAGGGAGAGATAACGGGAACGATGTTACCGGAAGGAAAGACTGACGGGGGACTGGAAGTGGACCAGTCAGTGGGAAACATATGGAACGAGGAAACAATTCTGCACGAAGGGAACATAAAGAACACATTAGTTCACTGTGCGTTAGGGATCAGAGTTAGCCCAGATGGCCACAAAAGAGACAATCCACAAGAAAAAAAACGACAGACTCAGTTCAAGCTCCGCACAAACATGGAGCAAACACGAAAAGTCTTAAACAAAAACACACTCTGAGGGGCGACGAGTACTGACTACTGATCGCCAAGGTTGTCAAAGTCGATGTCGTTCATGAAGGCATCATCTCCGGCGGCCGGGGGTGGAAGGGGAGAGTCCTCCCAGGGAGTCCTCCAGACTGGCTGCTCGCCAGGTATCAGCTGAAGCAGGTGCTGCTGGACCTCCTGCATACGCCAAAATCGGGCCCGCTCGCGCTCGATGTGAGCAAGGGTCACCCCCTGCTGGGTCTCCATACGGTTAAGGCGTGCATCATAGGTAGCCATCCGGGTCTGATACTCGGCCTAGTGAGCCGAGTACATTGGCTATAGGGTTAATATCTTATTATGGCCTGAACTATGACTATGTAATAAACTTTGACTTGTGGTTTGAGAAATTAACATCCTGGCCCGAACTATGCAGCATATAGACAGAATTGGCTTGGAGCGTGGTTTGACCGTTTGTTTGAGAAATTAACATCCTGGCCCGAACTATGCAGCATATAGACAGGTGGTCACAGTCAGCGGCGGATCCAGGGGAGGGCCACACTGGGCCCTGGCCCAGCCCTCCTCCTGGCATAAAGATTTAATATCTTATAATTCCAGCCCACTCATCATTTTGGGTCCAATCTTTTCTGCTTTTCAAACCCAAATCCTATACCCAAGCAACCAAAAGTCCAAAATCCAATTCCTTCCTTTCTCTTTTAATTCGTCCAAAAAATTAAAGGGAGAGGGATCAATCTTCCTCCGCCAGTACGCCCTTTTCCCCAATCCCCACCCCAGCCCTTTATGTACGTCATAGGCTCATAGCAATGCTTTTTTTTAATAACTCATTCATTTCAAATTGAAGATGGGCAACTGATCGATGGACCAACTCCTTGATCGAACTTGTTGGTATTTCATAATGTTCAACTACAAGAACATTTCTTACAACCTATGAACTCTCTTCTGGCTCTTACAATATTCCTAATGCGTACACCTCACATATGCTATACGCCTGCGTTCACACTTGTGCTATTTAATTATGCATGTTTGAAGATATTTCATCATGATATCTTCTCAAACACCAAATAAAAAGACGACAACGACATTATTTTCTTACTATAATTGACATTTTAATGGAAACTATAGTTATTATATTTTTTTGTTTATAATATTTAATTTTCTATTTAAATGCGGCCCAGTGTTATATTATATCCTGGATCCGCCGCTGGTCACAGTTATAATTACTTTTGGTTGCTTTACTGCTGATTATACTGCGGAAGATCCGACAGTAGCTTGGAATCTCTTAAGCTGACCAAGCCCTCTCAGTCAAACTACACGGCAGACGACTAATCTTCACCGGGATAGAACGCTGAGGCAATGAACACAGAACTCCACTACTGGAATTAGATTCCAGTACAAAGCAATGAATTGGCTAACTCTCGTATAATCGATTCTCTACTACCGATTGAAAAAGCTCTAACAACCTAATCAGATTCTATCTATCTCAGGTTGCAGCAGAAATCAATAAAAGATGATCAGACTTCAATTGATTCATTCAAAACACTTCAATCGATAATAATCAAGTAATATCACAATCCAAAAGTCGTTACAACAATGATCCCTAACACATAGAACTAGGGTTCTTCATACCCAAGTGAGAGAGGGTTCTACTCCATAGAGAGAGAGGAAAACAGCAAACAAAGGAGTCATACTCATCAAGATGGGAAGAATCTGTCTGGGATGATGATCTTCACTCCAAGGATGATTTCCAAGCTTGATTGATGAAACCCAGCTCCAAAACCACTCTTAGGGGGTGTTCTTCGCACTTTCTCTCTCTAGGACTCTGTTTTTGCTCCAAAAAGTCGATTCCCTCTCCTTTGGCTCGAATTTGGGTAAAACCCCAGAAATTCCCGACCACACGGCCAGGCTACACGGCCGTGTGGCTTTCCCAGCTGCCTGTGTGAGTGTGCAAAACGCCGCGTTTCACTTAAGTGACTTCGGGTATGCTACACGGGCAAAACCACACGACCGTGTGGATTTCCAGCCTGCCCGTGTGAGCTCCCTGGACTTTCCACACGGTCACATGGGTTCCCTTACACGGCCAGTGTGGCTTGCCCGTGCAATTTGATGTCACATGGCCGTGTGGGTTTTTAGGCGTGCCTGTGTGGCTTCCTCAGCTTCTCGCCAACCGTCCAATCTTCATCCAATCAACCCCGAACTCGTTCCCAAACCTTCGTTCACGTACTAGGACCTGAAATATCACAAACAAGAACGACCTAGCTTGAAATCGGTCTTAAACACGATAAATAAGACTCAAACAGTACAAGAATGGTGGACAAAAACATGTGTATATATCAAGTCATCAACTTCTCCAGTTTCCCTCTGACCACCGGTGGGAAAGTGTCATTCCATCGCAACATCTTCCTTCGGTTCTTCACTAGTCGAGTCATAACAGACACTCGAATTCCCTCCAACATTGCAATCGGGGTGAGAGACCTGAATTGCAATATCCAATTATTGAATGACTCGCATATGTTGCTCTCCACCGAGTCACTCTTGGAGAATGTATTCATGAACACACGACAAAAGTGCTCTAGTTCCTAGAGAGTGAATTGTATGTTAGATTATACTTGAAGTTGAATATAAATTAAGCAAACATAATAAGCAAAGAAAGATTACCTGAGCCATAAAATCAGCATACTCAGTCCCACCAAGGCCTTTCATTTGAACCATGGCATCCGTCCAATCAGAGTTATTGAGAGAGTAGACAGCTTCCCATAACAAATCAGTAGTTGCTGCCGTCTTGTGCTTCTCCCGAAAGTGAGCATGAACATGTCGAGCACATTTCCTGTTTTCCTCATTTGGCAAGCAGGCATGTAGAGCCTCTACAAGCCCCTGTGTTAAATTGACAAAGTTAGGAAACCATGTGATTTAAATTTAGGTATGCAAATAATCATAAGCAATAAAGTAGTTACCTTTTATTGGTCTGAGACAGTAGTATACCCACTACCGTCAGCTGTCCCAAGTTGGTTTTGCAACGCATTTATGAACCAAATCCAAGAGGATTTGTTCTCTGACTCCACTACTGCCCACGCAATTGGGAACATGTGGTTGTTCCCATCCTTACCAACTACAGACAGAAGCATTCCTTGAACCTCCCCCTTTAAGAAACAACCATCGAGGCAAAAGAAGGGTCTACATCCTGCCAGGAATCCTTTGCTCAAACTGGAAAAGCCAATATAGAGTCTCTTGAAGAACACCTTGTCACAACCCGGATCTACATCCACCTCGAGAAGGAAGGAACCTTGCGGGTCAACTTTCAAAAGATGTCCTATATATGATCTAATCTGATTAAAATCTTCTTCAAGTGATCCATATAGCATGTGACGCGCTTCTAGCCTAGCTCGGTAGCAAGTTTGGTTTGACACAACAAAATTGAACTTCCACTTAATTTCAGCAGCTATTAGGCCTACATCCCAACCCTGATTTGCCCTAAATGTCTCGATAAATTCTTCTGCTATCCACCTCTGACTTGTTGCCCGAATGTGAAGTGAACGGGGGCAACTGTGAGCTGGTCCAACTCCTTTAACCATAAATGCTTCGTGCTTGCGAAACCAACTTGCATATACCCTCCACCCACGCCGGTATTCTTTCCTTTGCGCACACAAAGCCTCCTTCCTAAAGTCACTTCTCCTTACCCATCTGATATCAGCACCAATCTCAATTGATTGCCTCATTACAACTGCCTTAAACTGCTCAGGGGATTTAAAGCGCATACAAGTGACGAACTTCAATGCTTTATGATCTCAATTTGGATCATAAAGCAAGGTTTTGTCGAACTTGGCGACATTATCTTGTTCACCAATGTTGCCTCTAACATTAGCAGACTCCTCTGATCCCCTATACTAAGTTTCCATTGATCCCCCACTATTTGCATCATCTTCACCAGCTCCAGATGGTTGATTGTATCCTCCACTTCCACTCACATTCTGCCCCGGATTCTCACTACCCACATTTGCTTCTCATCCTCCTCCCATACCACTTGATCCACCTCCTCACCCGACTCCTGATTCTGAGCTCTATAATTCTGCCTCATGTTTCGAACCTTCTGCTTGATTTCATGGTACTCTTCATCAGATGTTTGGGCATCATCCTCTTCCTCTACTCGCACAAATTCAGGTACAGCCGAGTTTTCACCATCCTCATCAGAACCATCGTGCTCATGGCCGTAGTTGTCACCCATAAATCCATCATCACCCAAGTCTTTGGTTGCTTCAAAGTAGACCCTCACTTGTCCTTTACCTACACATGGGAGGAATCCATTCATAACCTCCACGTCTGAATGAATTTCGTGCAATCCAGTGGCCATACTTTTACCCGGAGTCAAGTACCAAAGCCTTTCCACGGAGACATACTCCAAATCTTCAATTAGAGTCTTTGTTAACTCGAAATAGGACAATACATCGACAACCATGTTCACCACAGCTTCATCACCTCCAACGTACTTTGGAACAGCCCCTGTCATATCCATAAATCCTCCATGGCATAAAATGAGCTCAATTGGGTCTTCCATGCTGCACATAAACAAATCGAAAACACACTTTTCTAAGCAAACTTCACTAAGCCGACAAAGACAAATCGCTAAATTCACTAAGCCGACAAAGACAAATCAACTATTATTGTTTAATGTCCACTATGCATCATCCACATAGTGATTGCTTACCTTAGCTGAATAACAACAAGATTTTCTCGAAGTGGTCCCTTACTACACTTGTCCCTGGAACCTCGCTTTTTTTGCCTTTTACAGAAAATAGCGATGGGTGGCGCAATGGGTGGGGAATGCTTGGTCTTGGTCTAGGCAGAAATCAATGGTGGGGAATTTTGTTGTCGACGAGAGAATAGTGGATGGATGGCGCGCGAGGAACGGGTGAGGGTTCTGGGTAGGGATTCGAGAGTGCGACGGCGGCGGCGTCGTCTTTAAACAACCGGTCGCCGCTGCATTTGAATTGGAGAGAATGGAGGTGGCGGGTTGTCGGGGAAGAAGGAGGAAGAAGAATAATGGTTAGGGTTTTTTTAGTTCTGATCGAAAAGGAAAGAAGGCGAGGGGATAAGGTGGGGATGGTTGCCCGTGTTTGGGTTCTGATGAAAGCGTGCGACGGCGGCGGCGTCGTCTTTAAACGACCGGCCGCCGCTGCATTTGAAGTCGGAGAGAATGGAGGCGGCGGGTTATCGAGGAAGAATATGGAAGATAGGATTAGTCTAGGTTTGATCGAAAAGGAAAGAAGGTGAGGCGATAAGGTGGGGATGGGTGGCCAAAAGTTATCGTTTTATTTTTTTTTTTTTTTTTTCTTTATTATTCAATTTTGTAAAGGAAATAAAAAGAAAATTGAAATTATAATTTTTTTGTGCTGACATGGCAGTGACCTGGACAGTTGACTTAACGGTCAACGGTGTTGACCGTCCAAACAAACGGTCAAACCACGCTCCAGACCAATTCTGTCTATATGCTGCATAGTTCGGGCCAGGATGTTAATTCCTCAAACCACGGGCCAAAGTTGATTACATGGTCATAGTTCAGGCCATAATAAGGTATTAACCCTATGATATATATATATATGGTGACTACTTCGGTGCACTCATTTTTTTGGGTGCACTAAACGCACTCACTTTCTGGTTTAATCTTGACCCTTCAATATATCAAACGGTTGAGAATAATTAATATATTTCTAATTTATTAATAACTAATAAAGAATACAATATTTATTAAAAGAATTTATAGTTACTGGTAATTGCAATTAAGGACCTAATATTAACTCATTCCCCAAATTCTGATTTCTTCCCATCACAACAAACAGTGCCGATTGGACCGGCGGCGGCCGCGATCTCAGTGTGACAGGCGACGTCGACTCCGAAAACTGAGAACAAACTTCTTGGTTTCTCCGACCATATACCCCTTGTACAACCATCCCTTTTCAATGTTGGAGTCGACGACGGGCAAGAAGCTTCGATGTTGCCGCCGGCGAACGCCTGTAGATGACAGGCATGATCCTGATGTGGATCCCGGAGAACGGATCGGCAAGAAAGCATACATGAGGCCTACCAATTCCGTTCAAAAATGGAGGAAATTTCCGGATTAAACAGAACTGGAATCAGTCATTGCGTGATGGATTAGTTCTGCCCTGCTCAAAATTACCTCCGCCGACGACTTTAACAAACATCACTAGTTTGGGATTGCTATATATATATAAATACATACATTTATTTAACACTTAGACGTGTGAACGAGGGAAATAATTAAGCGCCATCCGGGCATGAAATTTAGAGAGAAGAAATTTCAAAAGCGACGGTTTGTCCCCACTAACGCCGGTAGCAGCCTGCTAAACATTGCGGGCTTGCGTCGAGAATCGAGAGATAGAACAATGAAGGAGGAGACCAGCGAAGAAAAGTAATGAATTGGTGAATGATATCTTGATTTGTGCAGCGACTGGTGAGAACTCAAGCTTGACGGAGGCTTGTTCTCAGTTGTCGGAGACGGAGTCACCGCACGATCACGGCCGCCGCCAGGCCAATTGATCTTCTGTTTTGGTGAGAGCGGCAGTTATAGGAAGAAATAAGAATTTGCGGGATGCGTTACTATTTGGTCCTTAATAGCAATTACCAGTAACTATAAATTCTTTTAATAAATATTGTATTCTTTTTTAGTTAATAATTAATTAGAAATATATTAATTATTCTCAACCGTTAGATATATTGAAGGGTCAAGATTAAATCAGAAAGTGAGTACGTTCAGTGCACCCAAAAAAGTGGGTGCACCGAAGACGCCACCATATATATATATATACCCAAGCTTGCTAAAACATTTTCAAGAATCGGATAAAAAACAAAGAAAAATTAAAATCATAATCAGGCCAAAAACATGTTTGTTCTTATTTGGTTCGATTTAATCATTTTTTATCATGATTAAAATATTCACATGACAAAAAAATCAAATTGAAATGTACTAGATCAGGGTTAATGTCACATTTGGTCACTAGGATTACTAAATTGTGTCATGTTTAGTTACTAGAAAAAAATATTAGATTTGGTCACTCGATTTACTAAAACATGTCATATTTAGTCACTCTCTGCTAGTCTCCGTCCAACTCCGTTGATGGAGTCCGTTATGTGCTTACGTGGCTAACGGGAGCGCCTAGTCAGCGTCATTTTGGGCCGGTAGTGATCAAACCCGACCTGCCATGTCACTAAACCCGCCATGTCATACACCCAACCCGACCCAGAACCAAACCCGACCCTATTCTCGTCTCTACCACGCTGCCCCACTTCTCCCTTTTCCATTTCACATCGCCGGCAAACCCTCTCCTTCCGTTTTAAACTCGACACATGATTGATTGGTTTGTCAAAATAAATTAAACAGAGATGGAGGTTTGAGAGGAAGGGTTTTGGGGCTGGAGAGGGAAGATGAAACGGTTGAGAGAGATGCGAAAGCAGAGGGAGAGAAAAACTTTGAAGGGTGGGTTGGGAATTTTGGGCTCAATTAGGAAGACAAATCATCTCCACTCACCTTTGGTAAAGTGAGATTTGATCTAGGTTTTCCGCGGGGGTGAGATATGGATTCCCGATTGGTTGGATTCTCCGGTTCAATGAATGGGGTCACTTTCCAGGAGCAAACCCTCTTCTCTGATCTAACTCACTACGCCAACATTGTCACAAACAGGTTTACATTCAACGAAAACTCAATCTCCTCCTCCATGGAATTGGGCTGGAAGTTCATGGACGACCCACTGGTATTGACTGATTTGGATGCAGCAACTTCACTCAACCTTCACCTTTGACAAGCACAGAAGGACACACAAAACTCAGATATGAAATCAACATTGTTTCAAAGGACACAAGGAGACACAACTTTCAATCCCAGAATCCCCAATCGACAAAGGAGGGCCTGAGCGGCGGAGACGAGGGAGAGAAGGAGTCGATGGGATGGGATTGGCCGATTGGGTCGCTGTGGGTCTCGATCTGCTGCTACTGCCGATGCGTTGTGATGCTGCTACTGTCCCGCTGTTGATGTGATGCTATCTGTGATTGAGGAAGTGAGCGCAAGAGATGATGAGCATGGCGAGGGACGGAGGGGTCTGAGTGGCGGAGAAGAAGAGGAGGAAGCAGGGGAGGACCCAAGGGAGTTTGGACAACCATAAATTTTGGGAACGATTATCAACTCCCGGTGTTAATTTATGTATGGACAAAAAATTATAATCGATAGTGGGGGATATCTCGGAAATTTGAAAAAATGATTATCCTACTCTCATTTTTTAGTTTGCGTATGTGAATATAAGTGATAGTTTAGGTAATTCAAACTTAGGACATTATTATTATTAATGAATATAATTTCCATTAGTCGGCCAAAACGGCGCTGACTAGGCACTCCCATTAGCCACGTCAGCACATAATGGACTTCATTAACGGAGTTGGACGCAGACTAGCACAGAGTGACTAAATATAACCTGTTTTAGTAATTTGAGTGACCAAATCTGATATTTTTTCTAGTGACTAAACATGATACGATTTAGTAACCTCTATCTCAGCACTAAAAAAATGATAACTTGCATCCACAATCTGCCCCCAACCTAGCATGGTTTATCTCTTGTAATGATCCTGTTCATTGTGACCAGCCAAAGTGAGCAGAGTATTTAGCCCAGACGAACATTCCTATTTCGATCCACCAGGAAGCAACAGTACTTTACGTCGAAATGGCAAAGAAGCATGGTACCTCAGTTGCCCAACTCAAAGAAAACACGACGCCTTCATCACAATTCACAACATAGAGGAGCTTGTCACCTCAGGTTGGAAAGGCCATTAAAATGTAACTAAGAAAAAAGTTGAAACTGAAAAAGAAAACATAAAAGATAGTGCTGATATCAAAACATTTCTACTGAGTTGAACAACGGAGCATAAGACAATATATATGAACTCGATAGCAGCATGAACTCTCAAGACAAACACAAAAACCAAAAACTTGGTCAAGATCTATTATCTCTTCATTCATAAAAAAAACTTCAGTAGGCTGAGAACTAAGCTCTAACAAACAAAATCAAGCACAGCAATCCCTTTGAGTGATAAGCCTGCCTCACAACATTCTTCACTCATCAAGGAGCGACAATAATCCGCCCAGCAACTTGGTCGAGATCTCTCTGACCACTTGAAGTGATCTTCCTTCCGCTGGAAACCAAAAAAAATAAGAATGATACGTCATCAACCAACACAACAAAGAACCATCATCTATTTGCTAATTGTATTATGCTAGAATGAAGCATTAGACAATGCAAGAATAAAGTACTAGTATTCAGGGTAACAACAAAAAAAAGGAGGATGGTGAAGCAAAGAATGGCGAACTCACCCAGTGGGCTCTACGGAAACAAGGTTCAACTTCTCCAGTTGTTGAAGAATGTGACGGGCAACAGCTCCACTGCTCTTGCAGAAATGGGGAGGGCGGCTTCCATTCCTCTTGCTTCCGCCATAAATTCTTCGGAAAGCACCCACACCAAGGCCTCCCCTCAGGTACACCTTTCTCGCCATTGAGGCTGCAATCATAATCATTATGAATTTACAACATGATAACAATAGGATGATCATAGACTGAAACTAGAACTACATATGTTCAGGTCGTTTGAATAGAGGATGATGGTACTTACCAGCTCTGATGTAATACCAGTCGGGATCATATGGGGCCAGCTCTTTCAATTTACCAGTCTTAACAATATCAGTCCATGGGGGCAGCTCTATCTGTTATCCAGAAAATATAAAGCAACAACGGAAATCAGATATCTAAGACAGAATCATAATTAAAATATTCAACCAGATCATTGGCCTGAACAGCAATTCCACCATCAAATCATTAGAATATACTACTTATAGCTACACAACATCTTTAAGTGTACTGGAAATAAGGGAAATGGGAAAAACTGAGACCTAAGGCATTCAACTGCAAGACCATCACCATTGATGAAACTAAGACACAGGAGAAATTGAGAAAGCTAGCAGAGAACCCAAAACAGGAAAACCCATGAACACCAACCGAAGCTTAAGCCATTAACACTATGACGAATTGAAGACACAATGATGTCTTCTCTTTCATGTATGCAAACAACCGCAATATATAGAACCATACTACATGAAAACAGAGTTCGAAGGAACTATAGATGCTCTACTCACCAACTACAACATCGAGTTCACAGTACTCCCTAGACATAGACACATGGATCGAAAGAGTAGGATCATACCTCTAAACTATCAGAAGAGACCAAACTAATTCGTATCACATTTATACAAACAATCAGAAACGCCGGGGCAAAGATCAATTCCCACAGAGAACATGGTGTAAACCTAAACGCCTAAACTACGATGATAAACTAGCTAAAATTTCATCTGTGGAATCTGGAGCTTTCGGGCAACAAGTTTTTTGCCGTGATATAAGTCAATTCGCAGCGAATTGCTTGGGGATTAATACCTTGCCAGATCGCTTGAGGTGAGCGGCATAGGCCTTCACGAACTCGTGAGGTGATACATCCTTGACAGTACCAGCCTTGACGATGTCGCCGGGAGCCGCCATTCTTTCTGCGAGTCGCTGCGCTCCGCCTCTCTTGAGCTCGAGATACTGTTCTCTGAACAAGTATGTTGCAGAAATGGCTAGGGTTTGGGGTGGCGGATGCCATGTTTTATTTATATGTCGACGGATTAGGGTTTGGGTTAGGCCCTTGGGTTCTTTGACCCGGACCTGGTACATGGTTATTGGGCCCTATTGCTCCATTAAGAAGTATTTAGGCCTCGGGGGTTAAATGGGCCAAAGACATGATCCTTTACTTCTGCTCGATCTTCATCCAACACCAAGTACCAGCAATTAAAATGGTCACTTCACTTTCGTTTTTGTACAAAATGGTCCCCAGCTTCTATTTTGTATGAAATGATCCCTTAACTTGGAACTTCCAACAGAATGGTCCATCCATCTCTATCCAAAACCTCAACAAAGTGGAAATGTGTTGTTGTTGTTGATATCACACACTTACTGGTCACCCCAATGTCTCCTACACCTTCTGTGGAAGAAGAAAAAAAACCGTTAGGTTGTTGTTCCGAAGGTAAGTTAGTTTTTTTATGTCTATTTTTTATTCAAATCTATTAAAATATTATTAATTAATCAAATATTTCGTAATGCATCAAAATATTAGCCATTTTTATCTTATCGTTAATAATTTTGTAACTCAGTTCTTAGTTAAAATACTAAAATTTTGGGATGATGACATTCATGTGTCTCTTTCAAGTCAGTTTCATGTTGTCAAGTCAATATTACTAACAAAATTGCTAACTGAAAATTAACATTTTACTAATTCTTAGTATTTCGATAGATTTGCCTAATAAAAAAGAATCCGAAAAAGATTTGACTAATAAATAGTCATTGCCCTTTCTTTTTTATACTAAAGAGTCGTATCATTTTTTACAACTACACAACACACTAACCATCACTACACAATACACTAACCATCACTTTTTATAGGCACTAGATATAATTCATATTTTAATAATTAGCTGTATAAAATTTGGAATAAGTGTCAATTTTCTTTACTAGAATGATGAAAGATTTTATACCTTCGTCATAAAAGTAAAAGCATATGTATGAAGTCAGTGAATTTTTACTCTGTCAACCAATACTTATTTTAAAGTAGGCAAAGAAAAGTTGGTATGACAATAGAATACTTTGCACATACAAGTAAATGCCGGATCCACAAAAGACAAAGTGAGAGAATGGTAGTAATTTATAAGGATTATTGTAAATATTAGTTAATATCCCTAATGATTCATTGAAAAATTATTTTTTCATATTAACCAGTAATCCAACTGCATCCGCCGGCTACTCACTCATCCCGAAGATGAATGTGAGTGGACAACATATCACAATTATACCAACTTGTTTTGACGAGGATATATAATTCTAAATTAATTATTGATGACAAACATCTTTTTGGTGACATGTTGCTGCCACATTATAAGTAGTTTAATGGACTTTGATCACTATTTGGTCAGTTGTTAAGTATAACGGTCAACAAAATATTTAACGTTATTATTTACATGATTACATCACACCCCAATGGTATAAAATACTTTTACACTGTTAAAAATTTGAAGACACAAATAAAATAATAACAAAAACATAAACTAGGAACCCGTTATTTATATCATGACTTTATTATCGTGAAGATAATTAAACCAACTACACTTCAACCAACACAAGTTTAATGGCGAGTCATGTTATGTCAATGCAGTTGAAACAACCACCCACTAGCTCATCTCTGTACACTGTGTATGGTTTTATTTTCATTAATGAAACTCTACTCCTCGTCAAAAAAAAAAAAAAAAAAACCACCCACTAGCTCCCAATTCATTTATTTCCATAAAATTGCCTTATTTGCTTAGCAACCCAGCTAGTGGACGTCCATGGAGATATGATAGGAAGGAAAAACAAACTTTATTAGGTTGAAATTGCAGTAGATTTGTGGTCCCGATAATCTAGTCCTCCTTCTCCGCTATCACTTTCCCGAAAAATCCCGACTTCTTTTCCTGGAAAATTCTCACTTTTCTGATTTGATCATTTGAACAATCAAAAGTTCTAGCCCTCTTCTTCCCCCTAACAGACACCGAGAGAAGATCAGGAAAATTTTCCAATCAACCAACATGAATAATTTGAAACCAGTTAAAAAGTTTCATTAGATTACTTTCTCGTCCGAGGTATTCTGGCAGCTATAGATACTTAGAACTAGATATTTATGTTGGTTATCATTGTATATCTGCAGTTGGGTTGTTATTTGATGAGAGCACCAAAGGGCCAGTCACACGTTCTAAGGCAAAGGTGATGAGAGACAAGTTTGCAACGTATTTGGGTTGTTACTTTGCAAGCATGGACGTGGACTTATTCAAGTATAAACCCTTTATGATGTTGCAAGTCCTGGGGAAGAAGGAAGTCTTGAAGAGATGGCAGAATGTGAGAAGAAGGCTTGACGAGTTGTTTTTGCTTAACGGGTTTTTTCTGCTTAACGGGTTGTTTTTGTTTTAAGTCGGTTTATGATAACGATGTAATTGCACATATTTGCGCCCCTAGTTCTTATCCGTTTGAGGGGCATAGTCGTGTATTTTTTGCCTATTTTACGCCGGGTTGTGCTATTTTGTCATATTTCAGGTCCCAGGCGTCAAAGGAAAGGCTAAGCACGAGTTTCGGGGCATTCGGAAGTCATTTCGTCGAGCTGGAGCCAAAACACGAGCACACCTAAAACAGAACACGGCCGTGTTCTGTGGCCGTGCTTTTACTGCCGAGAGCTAATTGAGTTTGGCAAATTCAAGCTGCAAACACGGGCTGAAAGCACGGCCGTGTCCACCAAAACACGGCCGTGTCCATCATCAAACACGCCCGTGTTTCTCCCAACACAGTGGCCGTGTAATTAACCCTAGCCAAAGCACAGGCGGGCTGAAGCAAAGCACGGCCGTGCCCTCGACCGTGCTTTGGCCACTGATGCCCTTTTAAGCAGATTTCAGCCAAAATAGAGGGGGATTCGAGTTTTGAGAGAGATAGAGCAATTCCTAGAGAGAGAAAGCGACGAACAAGAGTCTCCAAGTGCCCTAGCTTGATCTTCATCACCATTGGAGGCCAGTTTGAGCTTGGAGAAGTGCCGATCAACGTCCAGGAGCAGGAATCCATCCTTCATAGTATGAATTCCGCGTCTGATTCTGCTTTTACTTCTTTCTCCATGGAGTACTTCTCCCATTCATCTGGGTATGGAGAACCCTAGATTTGTATGTTAGGTTTGATTGTATGAACCCAAGTACTGATTCCATGATTTGATTATATTCAATTGAGGTTTGAATGATTGAATGGCATGAATCCTGATCAAATTCCTGTTGTTTCTGCTTTAACCTAGAATGAGAATATCTGCCTAGGTTGATAGAGCATCCTTGATTGAAGGTAGGGAGTTGGTGACTTTAGTCGAGGAGCCAACTCACTATTCTGTACGGGATTCACTCCGGTAGTGGAGGTTTTGTTTGTTAAGGCCTCAATCTGTTTACTCACTATTCTGTACTTCAGGCTGTTTAAGAACCTTCCGCAGTATAACTATTATAGAAACTGAACTTGGTAATTACAATCCGGCTTAACTGCAGTCTAGGGGGAACCATATCCGGGTGACCTCTATTAATCTGAATACAACCGTTTACTTGCTTTGTTAGTTTGTTAGTTTAGACTTGCATTAAAGTTTCATTTCTAGATAACAAGAATTCACCGAGTAGTCATCAAATCTAGGACCCGGGTTGACATTTAAACCCAACCACGCTATACTACGCTTTAGGAAGTGGTTACACTTGGCCAATTCCTAGGGTGACAGTAGAAGTGAGTCAAGTTTTTGGCGCCGTTGCCGGGGACGGCTAGGTTGTTGAAGAAAAGTGATTTCTGTTAATTTAGCTTTTCTTTTCGCATTGTTTGCTTTGTCCCACTTGTGCATTCACGGGTTTGCTTGCTTGAGTGTGTGCAGGTAGTGCATGACCCGTAGCCAGTCGGGAGGTTTACTACCGTTGAATCCAGAGATTGACCGCACCTGTCGCCAACTCAGGAGACAACAGCGAGCTAGACTGGCTACGGAAGAGCGCCTAGACGGCCACTTGAGTAGCGATTCTGAAGAAGAGTACGGGATGGACGGAGACTACAATCAGCACCAGGGGAATCCTCAGCAGGCTCCCCCGGTGAATCAGGTCCTGGGGAACAACCCCATACCCCAGGATCATGGGGTTCATCATCCACCGCCGCCGGGTCCCACCTTGGAGTACTACTACACTCCTCGAATTCCTGACATCCGCCCGGTCATCCTCTACCCGCCTATTCCAGCAAACAACTTCGAGATCAAGCCATGCTGGATTCAGCTCATTACATCTTCTATCCAGTTCCATGGCTTGAAGGATGAGGAGGCCAGGGTACATCTCTCCCGTTTTCTGCAGCTGACGAACGGGTTCAAGTTGAATGGTGTCCCGGATGATGCAATCCGCCTTCATCTCTTCCCCCATTCTCTGGCGGGGAATGCTAAGAGGTGGTTGGAGACCCAGCCCCCATTGTCCATCATCTCTTGGGACGATCTAGCTGATAAGTTCGTGCACAAGTACTATCCGGCATCGAAGACTACAGAGATCCAGCGGGAGATCACTCACTTCCGCCAAGAGCCAGATGAGTCACTTCGTGATGCTTGGGAGCGGTACATGGGATATTTCTCGCAGTGTCCCCATCATGGCTTCAGTGATGCATTCACAGTGGGGAACTTCTACAGTGCTCTCTCTCCGGACATCCAGAGGGTGATTGAGTCTTTATGCCTAGGAGGGGATGTTCTTACTAAAACTCCACCCGAGCTGAACCAGATGATCAATACTTTGGCTGCCAGAGATCATTCCTGGGGGCAGAGCAGCCGAGGCAGACATTCCCAGGACCGTGGTGTGCACGCCATGGAGACCAGATCCAGGCTTGAGCAGCAGGTAGCTAAGTTAGTGCAGACATTGAAGCAGCCCAACAGTCTGATTCCGGGCAGAGGTTTGGCTACACCTCCAGTAGCTCAATGTCAGTGGTGTGAGAGCTCCAATCACCTAGTGGAGGACTGCCAGGCTATGAGGGAGTCTACC